TCATCTAGGTTATCCAATTTTTTGGCATACAACTATTCATAGTACTCTCTTGTAATCTTTTTTATTTCTGTAGATTCTGTAGAATCATCACCACTTTCATTTCTGATTTTAGTAATTTGAATCTTTTTTTTTTTTTCTGCTGAGGAAGATTTTCCCTGAGCTAACAACATCCTCTTTTTGTATGTGAGCTGCCGTCACAGCATGGCCGCTGACAGATGAGTGGTGTAGGTCCGCACTCGGGAACTGGACCTGGGCCGCTGAAGTGGAGCGCACCGAACTTAACTGCTCGGCCACCGGGGCTGGCCCTCTCTTTTTCTCTTAGTCCATCTAGCTATGGTTTGTTAATTTTGTCAATCTTTTCAGAGAAACAACTTTTTTTTAATTGATGTTTTAATAGTTTATAACATTGTGAAATTTTGAGTTGTACATTTTTGTTTGTCCATCACCATATACATGTCTCCCTTCACCCCTTGTGCCCACCCCCACCCCCATGACCCCTGGTAACCACAATACAGTTTCAGAGAAACAACTTTTGATTTCATTGATTTTCTTACTGCTTTTCTATTTTTTTATTTCGTTCATCTCTGCTCTGATCTTTATTATTTCCTTTGTTCTGATAGCTTTGGGTTTAGTTTGTTATTTTTCTAGTTCCTTAAGTTGTAAAGTTAGGTTGTTGATTTGAGATCTTTCTTATTTTTTAATGTAAACATTTATAGATATAAACTTCCTCAACAGCACAGCTTTTGCTGTGTCCTATAAGTTTTGGTAAGCTGTGTTTTCATTTTCATTCATCTCTATTTTCTAATTTCCCTTGTGATTTCTTCTTTGATCCATTGGCTGTTTAACAGTGTGTTAATTTCCACAGTTTTTTTAATTTTTCCATTTTCCCTTTAATGATTTCTAACTTCCTTCCATTGAGGTGAGAGAAGATATTTTGTATGATATCTATCTTTTTAAATCTATTGAGATTTAATTTGTAGCCTAATATACAGTCTATCCTGGAAACATCCCATACACCCTTGAGAACAATGTGTACTCCATTGTTGTTGGGCAGACTGTTCCGTGTGTGTCTGTTGATCCAGTTGGTTTACTGTGTTAAGTCCTCTATTTCCTTGTCTTTTGTCTGACTGTTCTAGCCGTTGTTGTGAATGAGTGAGTGAAATCTCCAACTACCAGTGTAGAACAGTCTATTTCTCTCTTCAATTCTGTCAGTTGTTGCTTCATATATTTTGATGGTCTGTCATTAGGTGTGTAAATGTTTTTGTCATATCTTCTTGCTGCTTTGAAACTTTTATTAATATATAATATCCTTCTTGTCTCTCGTAACCTTTTTTGATTTAAAGTCTATTTCATCTGATGTTAGTATAGCCACTCCTGCTTTCTTTTGGTTATTATTTGCAGAAAATATCTTTTTCCATCTTTTCACTTTCAACCTGCTTGTGTCTTTGGATCTCAAACCAGTCTTTTGTTGACAATATTTAGTTGGGTCATGTGTTTTTGTCCACTCTGCCAATCTCTGTCTTTTGACTGGAGTGTTTAATCCATTTATATCTAAAGTAATTACTGACAAGGAGGGACGTACTTCTGTCATTGAGCTATTTATTTTCTATATGTCCTATAGCTTTTTTGCCCTCATTTCCTGTATCCCTGTCTTCTTTTGTGTTAATAGTTGACTTTTTGTAGTGAAATGTTTAAATTCCTTCTTAATTTCATTTTGTGTATATTCTACAGCTATTTTCTTTGTGGTTACCATGGGAATTACATTTAAAATCCTAAAGTTCTAACACTCTAATTTGAACTTATACTGGCTTAATTTCAATAACATACAAAACTCTACTCCTTTGCTTCTCTGTCCCCATGCCTTTCAGTTACTGATGTCACAGAGTTACATCTCTATACATTGTGTGTCCCAAAACATAAACTATTAATTCTTTAAAATGCATTAGTCTCTTAAATTATGTAGAAAAACAAGATTCGGTGTTACAAACCGAAGTTACAGTAACACTAGCTTTTACACTAATAATTTTTTAAAATGTATTAGTCTCTTATCATGTTGAAAACAAAAGACAAGTTACAAACCATTGTTACAGTAACGCTAGCTTTTATAATTGCCCATGTATTCACCTTTTTCGAGATCTTTGTTTCTCCATACAGCTTTGAGTTACCATCTAGTGTCCTTTCACTTCACCTGCAGGACTCCCATGAGCATTTCTTGCAAGGCAGGTCTAGTGGTCACAAATTCCCTCAGCTTTTGTGTATCTGGGAATGTCTTAATTTCTCCCACACTTTTTTTTAAAAATAATTTTATTTATTTATTTTTCCCCCAAAGCCCCAGTAGATAGTTGTATGTCATAGCTGCACATCCTTCTAGTTGCTGTATGTGGGACACGGCCTCAACATGGCCGGAGAAGCAGTGTGTCGGTGCACGCCTGGCACCTGAACCCCCGCCGCCAGCAGTGGAGCGTACGCACTTAACCGCTAAGCCACAGGGCCGGCCCTTAATTTCTCTCACATTTTTGAAGGACAGTTTTTCCAGGTATGATTCTTGGTCGACAGTTTTCTTCTTTTAGCATTTTGAATATAGTGGCTCCATGTCTTCTGGCTTCCAAAGTCTCTGATGAGAAATCTGATGATAATCTTATTGAGGATCCCTTGTATGTGATGATTTGCTTCTCTCTTGCTGCTTTCAATGTTCTCTGTCTTTTGAAAGTCTGATTATAATGTGTCTTTGTGTGAGTCTCTTTGAGTTCACCTTACTTGGAGTTTGTCAAGCTTCTTGGATATTTATATTCAAGTATTTCATCAAATTTGGGAAGTCTTCAACCATTATTTTTTCAAATATTCTCTCTCCCTGCCCACTTTTCTCTCTCTTCTCTTGGGACTTCCATAATGCTTATGTTGGTCTGTTTGACAGTATGCCACAGGTCCGACTCTGTTTGCTTTTCTTCAATCTTTTTTCTTTTTTATCTTCAGCTTTGCTAATTCCCATTACCCTATTTTCAAGTTCACTGATTCTTTCTTCTGCCTGCTCAAATCTGCCTTTGAGTCCCTCTAGTGAATTTTTCATTTCACTTGTACTTTTCAGCTCCAGAATTTCTTTTTGGTTTCTTTTTAGGTTTTCTGTCTTCTTACTGATATTTCCATTTAGTTCACACATCATCTTCTTGACTTCCGCCTCATCCACCTTTAGTTCTTTTAGCATCTTTCGGATAGTTATTCATGTCTTTGTCTAATAGAGGTGCCACCAGTCCTTTTTCAGGGACAGTTTATGTTAATTTATCTTTTTCATTTGTATGGGCCACACTTTCCTGTTGTTTCATTTGCATGGGCCTTGAACACTGGACATTTGAATCTAATGATGTGATAACTCTGGAAATCAGATTCTCCTCCTTCCCCAGGGTTTGCTGTTTATGGTTATTTATTTATTTATTTATTTATTTATTTAAAGATTTTATTTATTTTATTTTTTCCCCCCAAAGCCCCAGTAGATAGTTGTATGTCATAGCTGCACATCCTTCTAGTTGCTGTATGTGGGACTCGGCCTCAGGATGGACGGAGAAGTGGTGCCTTGATGCGCACCCGGGATCCGAACCCGGGCCACCAGCATTGCAGAGCGCGCACTTAACCACCAAGCCACAGGGCCGGCCCTATGGTTATTTATTTTTGATTGATTGTCGTAGGCTGTCTCTGTGCCAAGGGGCATCCTGAGGTGTAAACTTAAGGTCTTCTCAGGTCTTTTCTAAGTCTTACCCTGGGCATATGTGGTCACTTTCTGATTTTTCCTGAATATGCAGTTGTTTTTTAATGTCCTAGTCTTTAATGTCTGGCTTCCTAAAGGGGAAAAGGTGAAAAATGAAGGGAGGTAAAAGGGTGATGGCCCTTTAAATTCCCTGGAAGTCACTTCAACTGGGGGTGGGGGGTGCTTACAACAATGGCTGCCTCTTTGGCTCTACCTTTGTGATATGAGTCAGTAATCAGCACTCAGATGCCCAATATTTGGTGGACAGGGTCCTTTTTGCCTACCCTGGCTCCCAGAAGCTGTGTGTAAGCTGCTCCAGGAACATGTGCACAGCTGTCGGCCATATGGCTGGGGGTGGAGGGTGGGTAGGTGCTACTGTGCTAAGAGCTGAAATTGACCAAAATTAACCTTCCTAGTCTTCTCCTGGAAGCTGCGATCCTTCCACAGACTCCAGAGTTCCAAAACAGTTATATCAGGCAGATTCTGCCAGTGCAGTTGATGTCCAGGTGGGGAGACAGGTTCCTGGTGCTTCCTCCTCTGCCATCTTCCCAGAATCCTCTTCATCATTAAGTTTTTTGAATGCACACACTTCAGGTATGTGTAGTTCCTATGGCCCAGTGTGGTCCCTTCCCAATTCCAGCACAAATTTTTATCAATTACCTCTGGTGTCAGAAGACACTTAATATGTTCTCAGGGTCAGGAAGCTTTTTCTGTAAGGGGCCAGGCAGTAAATATTTTTGGCTTTGTGGGCCATGTGGTCTCTGTTACAACTACTCAACTCCGCCCTTGCTGCTTGAAAGCAGCCATGGACAAGATATAAATGAACAAAGCTAGGCTGCATTCCAATACGACTTCATTTGTGGACACTAAAATTTGAGTTTCATGTAATTTTCATGTGTCACAAAATATCCTTATTTTGATTTTTTTCAGTCATTCAAAAATGTTAAAGCCCATTCTCAGCTCCGGGGCCTCAACAAACACAGGCCATAGACTGATCCGGCCCACGGCTACGGGCTGTTAACTCCTGATATAGTCAAAATACTTGGGGCTACATCAATGTTGAATAAATAGCTTTTTCAAAAGCACAACAGAATGGTATAGTTGCCTTTTTATAGTATTAATTAGGTTTAACAGTGCTAAAAACCTTTAGTGAGATATACTCAATACCAATACTTTAGCAAAGTCTTAGTCTAAGGATCTTATGAGGTGGAAGGGTTTTCAAAGTCACCAGAAATGGTTGTGTTGTACTATCTAAACTCACCAAACATAATATAGTACTGGGATTTTCCATTCAGGTTCTTCTGATCTATGTCTGCAGGGAAGACCTTTATGTAGCCTCCTCCGCAGTCCATCTTCTGCTCGTGTTTCACTGTGTACTGAATGACCAGAGTCTTCCCTTTATTGCTAAAGGGTTTGAACCGTGCAGAGATGGCGTAGAATCGGCCATTTTGAGTGGTTTGCAGACCTTTAAACAAAAAGTACTCATGAAGGATTAGGAATGACACAGCGCTCAGTGATGCAGGGAATTAAATGGTTGTCCTTCTGCCACCCCCAATAATTACTTCCTAACCATTTAGGACCATCCAGAGCCTACAGCACATTTGTACAATAATATGCAACAGGCATGATATACCACTGTTATGTCTTAAGTTACACAAACATTTTAGCTCTAAATGACAAATACGCAATCTAATTCTGGATAAAAGATTAATTTTGCTTCCATTCATCTTCCGAGGGGTGGGTATGTACAAGGAAGCCTGTGTAACACCTGAATTAAAAAAGGGAGCATTCTACTTCTTTTCCTCAATTCTCGTCTTAAAACAGCTACTTCAGAGACACAAGAGCAGACGGAGCACAGAGCACTGATCTGCAAGACAGTGCTTCATGGCACTGGCTGAGCTGGCCCAGAGACTCATCTGTGTGACGGCTCTTTTTATGAAGATACCATCCTTTTATCATGCAAATCAGATTATATTTGTTTTACAAGTTTAGGCATTCACTTCAAGACCAAAACCCCCTTTCTCAGTAGCCACTAGGCTCTGTACCAAATCCTTATCTTATCCTGGAGTCTGCCAAACCTGAAAACAGAGCCATTCTTATCATAACCTACCCTTCCTTGCTCCACACTCTGGCCCCCATAGCTGCCTGTGGTGAGAGCCGTAAAAACGAACTTGGCCTTTTGTGTCAATATGTCCAAGCCTGACCTCATGGCTGACTCCCCACTACCACACCTCTCCTTCTGCGTCCTCCATCCTTCTCCCACCTTTCCCTTTCTCAGGGAATTTGTAGCCCCTCCCCTTCCCCTTCCTCCTATCCTCCAGGCAATTCCTAAAGCCACACTGCCTCCCTTTGTGTCCCGCTACCCTCCTCAGCCAACCACGTCATCTCTCACCACCTCCATCTCTGCCTGACTAAACTCTATCTTCCCGTCCATGACTTCTGTGTCATGGCCCGGGAGACCATGATGCAAGGGGCCAAATTAACCAGTGTCCCCAAGGCCTTGCCTGTGTGTGCTATCAGGAGACGCATGCTGGGCTGAATGAACGCACAGAACCTCAGGATTCCAGATTGGAGGGAGGAAAAACACTGTGGTAAATACCCAAATGACTCTAAGTGGAAACCCCTGTCCATGGACAAGCTTCATGGAACAACTTGTGTATTTTCACTCCATTTTTCTCATATAGCCTGAATTTTGACCAACTTTGTGGGTCAACATGTAACTTACAAAACAACGTATATACAATAGAAAACCAGAGGCTGCCACACAGGGTAACAATGGAGTCACAGGGCCAAGATGGGGGTTGAGTGGAAGGTGGTAAAGAAGGAAACTTTTCATCCAAATCAAGGGCCAGCAAACTTCTTCTGCAAGGCCAGAGAGTAAATATTTTAGACTCTGTGGGCCATTTCGTCCCTGTCTCAACTACTCGCTTCTGCCTTTACAGCATGAAAGCAGCCAATAGACTAGATGTAATGAATGGGCATGGCTGTGCTTCATTAAAGCTTTATCCATGGACACAGAAATATATTTCATTGAATTTTATATAATTTTTACATGTCACAAAATACTATCTCCCTTTCGATCTTTTTCTCAACTATTAAAAATGTAATAACTATTCTCAGCTCCCTGGCTGTACAAAAACACACTGTAGACGAGCTGTAGTTTGTCCCCCTTTTATCACCAAATAGATGTTATCCTTGGGGCCAGGAGGCTACTGATTTGGGGGAGGGGGGCACCAGGTAGGCCTATACCTGGACTGAAAATGTCCCCTAGCTCGACCCGGGTGTACAGTTGTAAACATTCATCCTGCTGTACCCTGAAGATCTGTGCACGTGACAGCATGTAACTTTTACCTCGATTTTTTTTTCTTTTTAACGTGAAAATAAGAATGAGAAATATCTTCTAATCTTTTTCCCTCCGCAGGAAAAAGTTCCCTTGGGCCCTGAACTCATTTGACTAGTGCTTATAAAGCGGGTGATCTTGGGCTCATAAAGACAGGAGAGAGAAAAAAAATAACTCAAGACCCTACCTGTGCCTTTGTTTCCTTACCTGGGAAATGGGTGTAAGAGGGGTTAAGGGTGTGCCACATCTACCTTGCAAGGTTGCAAGGCTCGATTTTCTCACGAATCCTACACTAACCTTTGTCTTTCTCTTTATGACCATAAAATTTCCCCGACGAGAGTCTAAAATGCCCAAATTGGGAGTCATTGGCGGACTGCACCCATCGGTTCCTCCAGCGCTCTGTGGGGGAAACAACACCGGTTAGGGCGGACATTGTTACTTGGGGTCATGGGGAGGGTGAGGGGCCTGGAGGCGTCGAAGATTCGCCACCACCGACCCCGCGACGAAACGCTGGCGCCAATGGCGACTTAGGCCGTCCGCCGGACAGCTCGGTATGGGCTACCACGGGCGTTTCACCTCCGTCTAGAAACTCCTCCTGGAAGTAGACGGTGGCCAGCGTCATTCGTAGTACGCAGACTGCCCAAAGCGGAACGCGAGCCGCGACCATGGCGACTGCGCGGCGCTTCTTCTTATACCCGCCCCTTTGCTCCCGGTCTCAGTGGCGCTCCAGGCCTGTCCCGGAACTACAACTCCCGTCACGCCTCCCGATTATGACCTGAGGCACCATCGGTCCCCGGCGCGCAGTGCACGCCGGGGCCGCCTCGGAACTACCACTCCCATGATGCCCCGCCCATGTGACTCGGGGTACTATTGGTCCTCGGGGCGCGGGGCGCGCCGGGAAATGTAGTCTTTTCTGCCGTGGCGCGGTTGCTGGAGGCAATGGTCCTCTCCCGGCCGGGTGCCGGGCCGAGAGCGGCGGCAGCCTCCGCGGATGGACAGAGTGGGAGGAGGTTGGCGGGGTCGGCTGGGTGGCGGTCAGGTTTCGCGCTCGGGCTCGGGAGAGGAGTTGTGGGGAAACGGGGCGCGCTCGGCAGCTGGGCTGGGAGGGCGACGGGAGGGCGGCCACGCGCCTCACGCCTCAGTTTCCCCCTCTGGAGCCCACTCGGGAGTGTGGTCCGATGTGGGTCGCTCCAGGCCTGAGGGAAGAGCCCGACGGTCTGAGGGGCGCCAGTGCTTTCAAAGTTTGGTTATTTATTTTTAACAACTTTATTGAGTATTCATTTACATATCATACGATTCACCACTCGTTTTAAGTGTACAACTACGTTATTTTTAGTAAATTTATCAAGTGGTGCAACCATCACTACGATCCAGCTTTAAGATTTTTCCGTCAACCGAAGGAGATCCCTCTTGCCCCTTTGCAGTCCATCCGCCTCCCACCTCCAGCCCCAGGCAACCACGGATGTGCTTTCTGAGTCTAGATTTGCCTTTTCTGGACAATTATTATGAGTGGAATCGTCCGGTGTGTGTTTTTTGCATCTGGTTATTTTCGCTTAGTAGGATGTGTTTGAGATGGATGCATGTTGTGTGTGTCGGTGTTGTTCTCATCCATTCATTAGTTAATAAACATTTGGGTGGTTTCTACTTTTTGTCTTTTATGAATAATGACTTATGAACATTTGCATACATTTCAGTTATCTTGGGCTATGTGGGAGTGGAATTTCTGGATCACATGGTAACTATGTTTAACCTTTTGAGGAACTGCCAGACGGTTTTCCAAATCAGCAGCTGCACCATTTCACAACCCCCCAACAGTGTGTAAGCGTTCCAGTTTCTTGACGTGTTTACCAGTGCTTGTTCTTATCTGTCTTTTTGATTATCGCCATCCTAGTGGTGTGAAGTGCGATCTCATGGTGGTTTTGGTTTGCATTTCCCTGATGGCTAGTGATGTTGAACATCTTTTCATGTGCTTATTGGCCATTTGTGTGTGTGTGTGTGTGTGTATATATATATATATTTTTTTTTATTATTATTATTTTTCCCCCCAAAGCCCCAGTAGATAGTTGTATGTCATAGTTGCCCATCCTTCTAGTTGCTGTATGTGGGACGCGGCCTCAGCATGGCCGGAGAAGGGGTGCGTTGGTGCACGCCCGGGATCCGAACCCCGGCCGCCTGCAGCGGAGCACGCGCACTTAACCACCAAGCCACGGGGCCGGCCCATGTATATATTTTTTTTGAGTGTGAAATACCTGTTCAGGTTTTTTGCCTATTGGTTTAGTTTTAGTTGTGTGTTTCTTAAACATATCTCTTTTAGTTGTGGTAAAATGTACATAGCATGAAATTAGCCATTTTAACCATTTTTCCATTAGTTTATTTTTAAACCTAGGGAAACTTTCAGAACTAGATACCAGAAAACCTGGTCTGCTGGTCAGGCCTCCCCTCTGACCCCCAGAATGGCCGAGGCTGTGTCGTCCCCTGAACTTTGGCTATAAAAATATTAGCAAAGATACCTGTTGACCTGGTTCTGGCCATCTCTGCTTCCCCTTCACTGCGTCATTCCAGGTGAAAGTTAGCCTCTTATGCAGGTAGTCCAAATACTACCGTTACTACTGTCTAAATTTTGCTGAGCCATACTGAACATAGGAATCCTATGAGGGAAATAGTTATTATTCCCTTTTTACAGATCAGCAAGCTGAGGCCTAGAGGGGTTAAGTAACTTGCCCAGGGTCACACGGACTAGGAATTCTGCACTGCTGCTGTTGGGTGTGGTTCTCCATTCACTGAGCCCTGTGGTCAGGCCTGTGCTGGGCACTCTTAGTACACAGGGTGGTTCAGGTGGGGACGAGTGAGCAAGCACAGTAGTCAGAGAAACAGACAGGAAAATAATAAAAATCATTCATTCTTGTACAGAGTCTTAGGGGCTGGGTTAAATGCATTTCCTTGCACAAAACATTTGAGTTCAGCTTTGAAGGGTGTATTTAAGATATAGAGGGCCAGCCCTGGTGGCCTAGTGGTTAAGTTCGGTAAGTTCGGTGTGCCCCACTTCGGCGGGCTCTGTTCGCTTCCAGGTGCAGACCTACACCACTCGTCTGTTAGTGGCTGTACTGTGGTCACAGCTCACATAAAAGGAAAAAAAAAAGAGGAAGATTGGCAATGGATGTTAGCTCAGGGTGAATCTTCCTCAGCAAAAATAAAAACATATAGGGTTGCCAGATTTAATGAATAAAAATATGGGACACCCAGTTGAATTTTGGATAAAGAACAAATAATTTTTTAGTATAAAAATATTTGGAACATATTATTTTTTAGTATAAAAATATTTCGGTCATTCCTATATTTTTAAAATTATTTGCTGTGTATCTGAAATTCACATAACTGGGTGTCCTGTATTTAATCTGGCAATCCCAATAAGATTGTTTTCCAAGTGGGCAGGGATGGGAAAAAAGGCTTTTTCAGGTCTCACAGTGAATTTTTTTTTTGTGTGTGTGTGTGAGGAAGATCAGCCCTGAGCTAACATCCATGCCAATCCTCTTTTTTTTGCTGAGGAAGACTGGCCCTGAGCTAACATCTATTGTCAATCCTCCTCCTTTTTTTCCCCCAAAGCCCCAGTAGATAGTTGTATGTCATAGCTGCACATCCTTCTAGTTGCTGTATGTGGGATGTGGCCTCAGCATGGCCGGAGAAGCGGTGTGCCGGTGTGCGCCCGGGATCCGAACCCGGGCCGCCAGCAGCGGAGCGTGCGCACTTAACCGCTAAGCCACGGGCCGCCCCGTTTTTTTTTTTTTTTTAATAAAAGTAACACATGGCGGTGCTAAAACATTCCAACAGAGTGGAGAGGGGCCGTGGTCTGCATCTTGTCCTTTCTTCCTCTTCTGTTGTTCAGCTGGCAACATTGTTATGCACGCACATCTCCCTGGCTCCTTTCAGATGGCCGCATGGTGTTGCGTGGCCTGCACGTGCTCTCCTTGGCTGTCCCAGGTCTCTGGATGGCTTCAGGCTTTTGATGAGCACAAACAATGCTGCCGTAATGTTCCTTGAACACGTGTCTGTGCACGTTTGCCAGCTGAATTGTAGGTGAATTTCCATACGTGGAATTGCTGGCTCACAGGCTCTACGCGGTTCGCGTCTCAGCGCTGTTGCCAGTTCCTTGCTGAAGCAGACGCACATCCCACGCTGTATTTTCTAACTTTTAAGTCTTTAAAATCTTTTGAAACCTTTGTAAATCTTGCAGTGGGTCCTTCATATTCTTTCAGGGGCACGTGGGGACTTGGAGAACGTGACGAAAGCTCTGGCCCTCCTCTCCAGACAGCTGTACGCCAGCAGACACGTGGCCGCCGTGGCGGGGGTGCTGCATCTGGCCAGAGCGCCCCACTTCTGGGGCAGTGGTTCTCACACTTTAAGTGAAGTAAGGTTTTCTGGGAGCTCATTAAACATACAGGTTGTGTTTCAACAGCTCTTTGTGTGAGAACTGAGGACACTTGGGTAAAGGAGGAGGCCTGACGTGGGTGTGGGGGAAAGCAGGACTCCCTCGGAGTGGCAGCAGAGCACATGGCGAGGCGGTGACCACCCTGGGGGAGAGTGGGCTCTTAGGAACTGGGCCTGAGCTTTGAATTTGGCTCTGCTGCTCACTGGCCAGGTGACCTTGACCGGTGAGCTAACCTGTGGGACTTTCATTTCCTCCACCTCCTCTGAAAGGGGAATGACAATAACCGACTTACGGGGTTGCATGAGGATTAAGTGAAGTGATACAGCTCCAAACAGAGTGTCGGGCACACTGCTGGAGGCTGAGAACAGTGAGAGAACAAGCCTACACACACTGCTGGCTCTCGTGTTTAATATGGAACATGTCTCATTTAAGACTTGGTGTTGAATGGTATTCAGTCAGTGGTACCACGTGTCTGATCATTTTCACTGTCATCATTGGGCTTGAAGGGAAGGCTCCGGCCAGGCTGCAAAGGGGGATTTGATCTCTCCCAAGGTGGTGGGAGCCATTGAGAGATTTGAATACACAATAAAATCATCAGGTTCTTACTCTAAGTTTTCTTTCTTTACTCCCTAGAATGGCTTCAACAAGAAAAACCAGCCGTCCTGCATGCGATATCTTTGGTGATTTTAGTAATGTTTCCTTAGAAGATTCAAAGATGGAAGAAATCAGAAACTTGAAACTCAGTAGAGGTCTTACCAAAATAGCACCTGGTCATAGCAGATTTCTAAAAAGAGACCAACCTATGGGTGAAAAACACTTATTCCCAAAAGAGAATGCTGTCCTAGGGAGGGGGCCCTGGCTGTCCTCAGGGAGACCCCCGACCACTGCCTCGAAGCTCAGGGCCCACGCAGCGCTCACAAAGCTGGCCCAGATCGAAACCAGGATCATGAATCGGAAGGTGCAGAGGGATCTGTCTGACATAGACTCTGCCCCGAAGACCTCCGAGGACTGTCTTCCAAGGAGAGCAGACGAAGCTTCCCCCGGGGGTGTAGCTGAACTTTCTTCACAGAACACAGACAAAACCCCTCAGAAACAGGCCCGAGAAATTCCTGTCACCAAGAGTGGTGTGCCGAGTGGGAAAGTCAGTAGGTTTCTAAAGAAAAAAGGACCACCCCTTGAAAACATATCCCCTGAAGCATGTTTTGGGAAAGACAGGAATCTTCAAACATCCAAAGAGAAAGAACCTATTAGAAAATTGGATTCTCTAGATAGTGATGAAGAGGAGGTGGGAAGCTTGATGGAATCTTCTAGAGAAAAAGAAACATACACAAATCAGGGTTTTACGAGCACCAAAGTCAGTGATACAGAACCAATAAAACTGTTCTCGGTAAGGTTTGCATGTATTTATTTATTTTTAACAGAGCTTTTGCAGTTGTACCTTTATGTCATAGCCCTAGAGACTTGATAGCGGCTGTCACCCTTAAGCTCCTCGAGGAGAGGTTTTGATGAGGAAAGGTTGGGTGTCAGCTGGTCACAGCTACCTATTGTGGACCTGCTCTGTAGAGGATGGCATTTGGGACACATTAGGCAGTTTGGCAATATCTAACTTGTAACGTGTGCACCATAGGACGGCACTTCATATGACTGATCCAAGGCCAGCAATATCAGTGCCATCTGTGACCCACGCCCACTTGTCACTAGTACCACACAGGAACTTGGGAAGGCTCCATTGCCATTTTTTTTATTGAGATGAAATTCACATAACCTAAAATTAACCATTTTTAAATGAACAATTCAGTGGCATTTAGTACATTCATGATGATGTATAAGCACCACCTCTATCTAGTTCCAGAACATTTCCATCACCCCAAAGGAGACCCTGTAACCATTAAATAATCACTCCTCATTCCCCCTCCCCCAGCCCTTGGCCACCACTAATCTGCTTTTTTTCTCTATGGATTTGCCTACCTGGACATTTCGTATAAATGGATCATGGCATATGTGACCTTTTGTGTCTGGCTTCTTTCACTCAGCATGATGTTTTTGAGGTTCATCCGCATTGTAGCGTGTGTCAGAGCTTCGTTCCTGTTTATGGCTGAGTAATATTGCATTGTATAGATATACCATGTCTTATTTATCCATTCATCACTGATGGGCATTTGAGTTGTCGCCACCTTTTGGCTATTGTGACTCGTGCTCTATGAACACTGTGTGCAAGTATCTGAGCCTGTGTTTTCAGTTATTTGGGGTATGTACCTAGGAGTGGAATTCCCGGGCCCTACAGTATTCCATGTGTGACTTATTGAGGACCCCCACACTGTTTTCCACAACAGCTGCCCCAGTTTGCATCCCCGCCCACAGTGTACGAGGGTTCCAGTTTCCCCGCATCCTCGCCAGCACTTGGTATTTTTGGCTGGTATGATTATAGCCACCCTGGTGGTTGTGAGGTGATAGGAAGGCTGCATCTTAAGGGGGAAGAAATCTGCCTATTCATTTGGATTCTGTTAAGGGTCCAGGCTGTTAACAGATCATGTACTCAGGGGCCTTAATTTAGCAAATTTGTAATTAACAATATGTATTTGAAAGCAAAGTGATATTTCTCATTATCTGTGGGGTATTTCTAATCCCAGTATTATCTTATCTAAATGCTATACCTTGACTTCTGGCAGTGAGGGGAGAGGAGAGACAGGCCGAGGGGGGACTGTTAGTTATCATGCTCCTCTCTAGCCGTGATGTTGAATGATAAGGACTTATCCATGTTTGGTAATTCTGTTTCTTTTGTTTTCACCAAAGTAGGATCAGATCCCAACTCGACTGAGAGTCCTTTCTCTGCCCAGTGAGGAACTTTCCAGCCCAAACTCGCTTCAGACGTTGCCTTTGCCAACCTCACAGTCAGCAGACGGGACCCTTTGCAGTGTGCGCTCAAGAACTCACTCCCCACAGACTCATGTTTCAGGTGACGCGGACTCCCGCGTGGCGTCGCTTTCCATCACCAGCACCTGTTCTAAGAATGTACCCTCAGCGATGGGGCACAGCGGGCGCTTGTCCTTGCCCAGAAGGAGTGAGGCTGGGCCTCTGGATGAGCTGCCCTCAGAAGCCACCGATGACAGCCTAGACGGTAACCCACGTCCCTGTGCAGAGTTGCCACCCCAGGCAGGGAGGGCAGGACTGCCCTGATGTCCCCGCCATGGTGGTCACAGGGTTTCGTGACAGGGAGTACGGGGTGGGACACATCACACCTTCAGCTGCCTGACCTGGTTTCCTAGTTGAGGGCCTTTCTTTCTTTATTATTTTTTTTCATGAGGAAGATCAGCCCTGAGCTAACATCCATGCTAATTCTCCTCTTTTTGCTGAGGAAGACCGGCTCTGAGCTAACATCTATTGCCAATCCTTCTTCTTTTTTTTTTTCCCCCAAAGCCCCAGTAGATAGTTGTATGTCATAGTTGCACATCCTTCTAGTTGCTGTATGTGGGACGCGGCCTCAGCATGGCCGGAGAAGCGGTGCGTCGGTGCGCGCCCGGGATCCGAACCCGGGCTGCCAGCAGCAGAGCACACGCACTTAACTGCTAAGCCACGGGGCCGGCCCCCAGGGGCTTTCTTTAAAATCTTCGTCCAGTAACTCTGACCAGTTACAGAGCAATAATCTGAGAAAGAAGTCCTTCTAGAGCCATGTATAACAGAAAGGCAGCTCAGTTTTCTTTTTTGTAAAAGAGAAATCTACCTCCTTTCCTTTTTGAATTCAGAAAGGAAACAAATCTCTAACCAGTCACAATTAAACATTTCTATTATTTCAACATGGTTTTTATTTTAATATTATATGTATTTAAGAAAGAAAGGGGCCAGCCTCTCAGCCTCCAGCCCTCACTGCTGGCCTGGAGGGGCCTCTTCTGGTGGCCAGCTCCTGCCCTCCTTCGTCCAGAGGCAGCCTCGAGGGAGGGAGGGAGGCAGCAAGGAGTGGTGAGTACAAGTCTGAGTCTGGGGTCCGATGTGAGGCCCCATCTCTTACTGGCTGTGCAGTCTTGGGCTCTCTGTGCCTCAGTTTGCTCATCTGTGAAGTGGAGGCAGAGCCATGTCAGTGACATCATGTGTACGAAGCGCCTCAGCTGGTCCAATTCCCAGTGCGCGTGTGTCAGAATTGGCTGACGTGATGATATCAGCCAGCGCCAACACTGTCCCAAAGCGCTCGAGTCCAGTCTCCTGCTGTGCCTTGGCCCTGGGCCAGCTGGGACAGCTCAGTTCACAGGCTTTGTCTGTGAATGCATGTTTGGACCTGTCTGCCACGTGAATTGAGGTGACAGTCAGTGTGAGAGGAGCCCGGAGGAGGGGGGAACCCTTGGGACTGGAGTGACGAGGTGGGATTTGATCTGGGTACTATGGTGTGGGTGGGTGGGGGAGGGCAGATGCTGCAGCCTCTCCTGGGCACTTGGGGCCGCGCTCAGCTGACTTTCCAGAGAGCCTGGGCAGCTTGCTCCTCCTCTCTCTGCCTCACTCCGGCTGTCCTGCCCAGATGGCCCTGCCCCCGTCTATTCTCGATAGGGGCTCACTCCTGCCGCCTCTGGGAGGCTCATCCCCTCTGACCCCACGGAACCCCCTAAGCTCCTTGGGGCCCCTTGAGGTGTCTGCCGAACTTGGCCGTGATTGGATTAGGTACGCACTTAGGTTGTGAGACCCTGCAGGGTGGAGGCACCCCCCAACACACACACGCACACGCACACACACACTCCTGCACTTCGGGGCCTGAGGTGAACCACATAAGAGAGTTCCTGCCCATGTTCGCTGCCTGTCGGCCTTCCCCTCCTGGAAGGAGCGGGCTCATTCATTGAGTGGCCAGAAACCTGTTGGAGCACCAGAACTCCACAGAGGGTCCCGGACTCCCAAGTCTCTGGCACCCCTGTATTCAGGCAGTGGCAGTCGGCCAGAGGGCACGCCACAATGCTTATGCCCCTTAGGAGCCTGTGCACTTAACTTGCTTTATATGAGAATTTAGGATGCTTCGGGTCCAGCCTTGTGCCTGCCTGAGGTACCACCCCCGCAGGCCCTGCAGCCTTCTCCCCATCTCCCCCAGCACTGGGTGCCCTGCCACCCACCCCTCATACCTCGGGCACGCTTGTCACCACGCAGCCTTCGTTGCATTCATCTGTTCATCTGGGAGGCCCAGTGTCTGTTCTTATAAAGTTTTATCGGTACGCAGCCATGCCCAATTGTTTACATGTGGTCTGCAGCGGCTTTCACACCATACAGACAGAGCTGAGTCATTTCAACAGAGCCCGTCTAGCTCACAGAGCGGGACGATATTTACTGTCTAGTCCTTTAGTGAAAAGTGCTTGGACCCCTGGCCTGGCTTGTTGAGGATGAGGACTGCGCGTCTTCCTCTCTCTCCCCCTAGCCATCAGCCTCGTGCCTACAGCATGATGGTAAACATTTGTGGAGTAAATAAATGAGAAAATATTGTCATGTTACCTTTCTAATTACAGATTTTAGAATAAATATTTTATCCCTTGATGACCTGGCTCCAGCTGCCAGTGAGAAATCAGACTTGGAACAGAAAGTAAGTACAACCAACTTATTTTTCATTGTAGGTTGTTACGTAGAGAGGCTTGCAATGGTTTGGCTTCATTCAGGTCAGCGGTTCTTAACCGGGGCGATTCCGCCCCCTGGGGACACTTGGTGAAGTCTGGAGACATTTTTGGTTGTCATGACTGGGGTGGGGCTGCTACTGGCTTCTGGGTGGCAGCCAGGGATGCTGCTCAGTGTCCTGCAATGCACAGGATGGCCCCCACAGCAAAGAATGTTCCGGCCCCAAATGTCAGAGTGCCACAGGTGAGAGACCCTGACTTAGGTGAGAACAGGAAAAAGCTCCCTAATGTAGCAGGTGGTGGAAGCAGGTCCCATTTAGACTGCCCATGGCAACAGCTGCTCTGACCTGCACTCGGTCCAGTGCCCCGGCGGGACTCTGGCCATGTTAGTAACCACCGCACCATCAAACGCACATTTCAATAATGCGTAATAAGGACACTGTCCCAGATCTCACCCTCGCCTCGCCTACACGTGCTCACACCGTCAGTGCTAAGTGCAGCAGCCCGTGCTGAAGTCAGGCACTCTGCCTGCAGTGCTCGGCCTGCCCAATCCACTGAAGGACCTGTGTGGGCCTGCACCTCATTCTAACGCAGTGGTATTTTGAGCATGTTGGTCGTTCAGAAACATTTTCTAGTTACCTCAGCCTTCCTTCATTTTAGAAAGAAGGTCAGAGGGAAAAGGCATCCAGCAAAAGCCCCCAGGCAAGGGATGCACCCGCGGCAAGTGAGGTCTCCGAACATCTAAGCCTGCCATCGGCTTTCTCTGCCCGGCCCGAGGGTGTGTCCAGCCTGCAGCCCACGTTTCAGGAACCTACAGCCGGCCCAGTGAGCTCCACTTATTCGGAAGATTTTGAAAAATCCCCAAGTCCAACAGCATCTGAGCCGCTGGCCCATTCTGAGGAGTCCCCCGGCAGAATGCTGGAAGCCTTGTCAGAATTCTCTGGAAGCCTGAAAACAGACCTTCTCCCTGCAACGCCCAAGTCTCGGAAGAAGCGGCTCAGGGACATCACAGGAGTCATGGTGAAGGAGGCTGCCGTGCAGACCCTCGACCCCGCCTTCACCGACCAGTGGACGGAGGGTGAGTGTGTCGGCCTGAGGGCCCGAGGAGGGACATGCAGGCCGGGGTGGCAGGACAGGCACCCGGGGTGTGCCCTCCGGGCATCCTCGGAAGCATGACAAGGAGCCCCAGGGTCCGGAGGGCTGGGCTGTGGTCATTACTGGCTGGGGGGACCTCAGCTCCCCGTTTCCTCTTCCACGGATGAAGGGCAGCTGCCCTGAGTGTTTCCCACTGTCTTCTGAGCTCTGAGACATCTGCCGAGTTTCAGACCCGAAGACTAAGGCAGAGGTTCTCACCTGGGGAGATTCTGCCCCCAGGAGACATCAGCAAGGTCTGGAGCTGGTTTTGGCTCTGACAGCTGGGCGACAGTCTGGTGGGTGGAAACCAGGCATGCTGCTCAACACCCTGCAGTGCACAGGAGGGCCCCACCAGAGATGACCCAGCCCCGGACCTCGGTGGTGCCTGGGGTGAGCCTGGGGACGCTTTGCGACAGGAACCACCTTCTGGGAGAGTGGCGCCTGTCCTCAGGTGCCTGTGGGGCCCGAGCTCGGGGCTCTGCTTTAGTGGTCTGAATTCGGCATGTTTTGGTGGATTCCCTTGTGTGCTGCAGCGGGCACTTCTCATCACTCCCCTTGCAACTTTCCAGACGTTTCTCTTGTCCCCAGCTCAGTCTTGGCCCTCTGGACGGAATGGTCCCTGTCTCTTGCTCCCTTTCTCATCTAGATGACACCCGCAGTGTGACAGACCTTATTCCTGGACTGTGTGGGGGGTGTAATTCTCACCTGATGTCTTCATTCTGATTTGGGGGCTTAGCCACACATCAGCCTGGCCCTCACACTGGGGCTGGTGGGGCTGTTCTCTGTTTCTCAGGGAGGAAAGTCAATCTGACACGCCAAGTCAGGTCCTGTGGCTCAGAAACCTCCATGTCCCTCCCCACGACCTCCTGCTGCCTTTCTGACAACAGAGCCAGCGGTCAGCAAATGTGCGAGATTTTGTTCATGTTTTTTGCAATTTAAAGAGATGCTTTCGTAAAACGTGGGTGATGCCATTTTCCTAGACTAGGCCTGACGTTGAAAGGAGAGACAAAAGGCAGCCTAAATAAACCAGCTCATTTGAGTCCAGGGAATATTCCGAAGCCCACAGATGGCCCCATAGAAAGAAGGCAGAGGGAGGGGAGGGCACGATGCCATGGTCACCAGCCACCATGCTGCAGTGACTGCTTCAGCCAGCTCAACCAACTTATATATTGAACCAGGAGAACCCACCAGAAAGGCAGAGGTAAGTTTGGGGAGATTAAAAGAGCAACAAAGGTGGCCATCACATTGAGAAAGAAAAAGAACAGGTTCACATAGCTTATTCCAACGTCATATCTGTTGATGAGAAAGTCGTTGCTCTGAATCCTGCCCACTCACCCCCCCATCCCCTTGTCCTTGGGACAGCGGCTGGCGTGGCGGCCATCAGGCCAGCCCTGGGAGGCAGCTACGTGGACCCTGCACCCATCGCCAGTCACATCGTCAGCGCGGACGCGATAGAAGGTAACAGGCCAGCTCACTGGGTCCTTGTGGTGAAGTGGACACATTTTACCTGTGACTTCCTGCCCGCCCTTGGAGGTGTGGCACCCCCATTCGTGCTGGGTTCTAGGAATCTGTTGGTGGGGTTCTCACAGCTGTGGGCAACCGCCACAGTTCCTAGGATCCTGCATGATACACTGAGTGTCCAAGAACCTCTGGTCTATCTTGCAAAAGGACAGCAGTACTGGACAAAATGGGAAGGCTATGAGCAACATGCCTACAAGCCCTCCACCCTAACAGGTCTGTTTTATTTTGTGTGTTTGCCTTTGAGCTTTTTTGTGTAAAACCCATGGTGGTTTTCCCCTGAAGACACGCAGCCAGTCCTGAGCAGCAGCCAGCTGGGTGGACACGGCCCTTTCTTCCTTGCGAGTCTGGGGGAGTCTTGGGGCCCTGGAGAGGCCCAGCCTGGCCTGGGGCAGGAGGAAGGTGCCTGACAGCCACTTAGACTGCCAGGTCCCTGTGGGGCTGCTGATGGCTTGTGGGACACAAGCGAGGGTCCATCTTGTACCTGCTATTATTTTTCTTTTTCAGTTTTTATTTATTTTTTGAGGGAGATTGGCCCTGAGCTAACATCTGTTGCCAATCTCCTTCTTTTTGCTTGAGGAAGATCGTTGCTGGGCTAACATCTGTGCCCAATCTTCCTCCATTTTGTATATGGGACACCACCACAGCATGGCTTGATGAGTGGTGTGTGTAGGTCCGCACCTGGGATCTGGACTCACGAACCCTGGGCCGCAGACGTGGATGCACACAAACTTAACCACTACGCCACCAGGCCAGCCCTCCTACCCGTTTTCAAGTGTACAGTTCAGTGGTGTTCACTTGCTTCACGTTGTGTGGTTACAGTTTGGGGTGCCACTTTACTAGGCTTCTTTCTTGGTGTGGGATGTTGAAGTTGACTTCCATTTCTGCCTGTGAGCTGAGCATCCTACACGGGCAGCTCTTGAGCTGCACAGGCAAGTCAGTAGAAAGTAGTTCATTTCCTACAGAGAAGAGACAGACGCGTAATAGCTAGGCCTTCACTACTTCGAAAGGTGGCCGCACTTCCAGAAAGTATCCTAACATAGCCGAGGGGGTGGGCGCTACAGAGCACGTGGGCCCAAAGTGGCTGATGCTGATGGGGTGAGGGCGCTGGCGGGAGGGACAGGCCTGGGGGCCGCCGAGTGACACTGTGCCGGGTGCAGTCCTGACAGCTTACAGCCCGGCCGTGTTTGCGCTCCACGACCTGCTCAAGCAGCAGCTGAGCCTGACGCAGCAGTTTGTGGAGGCCAGCCAGCACCTGCACGCGTCCCTCCTGCAGTCCCTGGACCGAGACTCATTCCACTACCACACCCTGGAGGAGACCAAAGAGGTGATGACCCTTCCTGGGAGATGGGGGGTGGGGCTCGGGGGCTGGCGCTCAGCCAGGACAGCAGGGACACGGCGGAGCCTGGTCACCTTCGTCCTAGCGGACGGAACCTTGTTTTCTCCTTGTCCACGACAAGAGCTGGTCCGGGGGAGGGCACTGAGCGCCAACCCTGCCGGGCTGAAGCTGGCTCAGCTCTGTGTGACCTCAGACCAACCGTGACCTCCCTGGTGAGCAGTCCTGCCCCTCCACAGACCCTTCCCAAGTGCTGTCCAGCCGGGGCTTTTCTCCTCAGTCCCGAGGGCTGGAACTCAAGGGATGTCACACTCATCTTTTTCCTTCCAAAAATTTAATTTTTGTCTGATTACAAAAGATATTTTATAAATATCTTGTTACAGAAATATGTAACTTATAAAGTCCTCCATAATTTCAGAGATAACTGTTACCAACTTGGTATATATTCTTTAGATTTTCCTTATGTAAAATATGAACTGTGTTATGTATATGTACAATATTACATATTGTATATAGTGTTACATACAATATATAAAATATATATTACAATGTAATAGGTGTAATATGTGTAACGGTATTATGTATATTTCTTTATAGAAATGGCATCATGCTATATGAACTGTTCTGCTTGGTGATTTTTATCATTTTATCTACAAATATTTCAGTGTCTATTTATAAAAAATAAGGACTTTTAAAAAAATACACTCACAATACCATTATACCACTAAGGCCGGACTCACGTTTCTTCGTGTCGTTGGCCAGCCAGTGTGCAGGTTTCCCCTTGTCTCATCCATGTTGTACGTTTTCTTCTGTCTTCATCAGGATCCAGACAAAGTCCATTCCTGGATTGCTGGGTGCCTCTTTAGCCTCCTGTTCTAGAGCAGTGGCTCTCAGCCCCGAGCAGCATCAGACCCCCAGCGCCTGTGGCCCGGGGGTTCTGTTGGCAGCAGGGCGGGCCTGGGGGTGGGTGTTTCTCCCACAGGCCCACTGGGGACCCACTTTGAGAACCACTGCTCTATAGGTCTCCCCATTCCCATCTCTTTCTTGTTTTCTTGCAGTGTGTTGAAGAAAACAGGTTGTCTGTCTGACAGTTTCCCACATTCCGGGCTTTGCTGACCACACCCCTGTGGGCTCCTTATCCCTTTGACAGATGGACATTAGTTGATGGCACGCAGGCTGAGGGGATCTGAACACGCCACCTGCCTACAGCCCACCATGGTTCCCCGCTGTCTGTTCCAGGCTCATGTCCTGAGTGTGGCTTCTGTGCCCCTCTCCTGGACCTTGCGCTCTGAGGGCACCCCTGGCAGCCCCGCCCACCAGCCCCCACCCCTGACCAAGGTCGCTGTTCCCTTTCAGGCTCAGTCAGGGCTTGCACCTTGCAGGGTGCCCTGCTGGGCCCGCCGAGTTCATTTCTCCTCTGCTGTTTCCACAGCATTGTCACCAGGCATCCCCTCATTTTACTTTTCTGTAGCCCAACTGGGAGCTGCTGGGGACAGGCACTGTCTCCAGCACCCAAAGCCTCAGGAGACAGAGGCGGTGGTGGTGATGATGCGTCCCTGTCTGTCCTCTGCCCCGCAGTACATCAAGCACCACAGGCCCGCCCCGCTGACCATGGAGGACGCTCTGGAGGAGGTGGAGGAGGAGCTGTGAGTGCCAGCAGGTGAGGCTACCTTCGCGGGTCTGATCTGGCCAGTATACTGGCCGTGACACTCAGTGGTGGGGCAGGTGGCACCCAGGAGTACCCCAAGCAGAATCTCAGTTCCAGCCTTTTCTAGCTGAATAACTGAAACTCCCAGTCCCTGCCTCCTTGGCGTGCCCCGCACCTGAGAGGACACGCCACAGGCCAGTGGAAATGGAACCCCGGGTAGAGCTGTCACCATGCAGGGCAAGACGGAGGATGCCAGCCTGTCTAGAGCCCCGCAGAGCAGCTCCACCTGCCCAGGTGCCGGCTTCCCTACAAGCCAAGGTAGATGGGGGATGAGGAGAAAACAGTGCCGGGCACTCTGCACGAGACGCCAGGCAGAGCTTCTGCACCCAGGACACACCTCCTCCCTGCGTGGCCCAAGCACACCTCTGACTTAAAGACACAGAGAAAAAGGTCTTTAAAAAAGTCTTTATTTGAAGGCAAAACAGTAAAATCCACAAGAAATTGTTAACAGCATGTGTTTACATTTATCCTGAATCAGACACGTTTGAACAATTCACAGCTACAGGAAATCTAGAACAAAATCAAATATTTTATCACATCAGGTTGAAAAGTTGGAGAGGATTCTGCATCTTATGGAAAAGAATTTTTCAAAAATGTTTCTGTACAAACGGCACCACACAAGCTGCGCATGGCTGCCCAACGAGCGCGGCCGGAGCCCGCGCCTCCTGCAGGCCTCACTGCCCCGGGGGCGGGTGGGGGTGGCAAAGGAAAGGACAGAGCCGGTCGCACAGCGGGCCGCTCGCCGCACTCGGGAGCTGACCGGGCCGCTGCACACAAGTGCTGGTGTTAGAGCTCCTCTGAGTGAAAAACACAAGTGGAGACGCACGGGGACAGATTCTCCAAGGGTGGCGGTCCGTGACCTGAAGATGCCTCAGATCATAATCCTCAGAACCTTTTGTTTCTGCAGATACTAGTAAATGGCTATCATTCAGAAAAGAAAATACTCAAACAACTAAAATAACTGAACTAAGGGCCAGTATGTCTTACAGGAATCAGGTTTCAAATGATCTCACCGAGGATCATCTTAGATCAATATTCTTTTCTCTAAAACTAAACCATTTGGAGTAAAAATGAAAAAACCCTGTTTAACTTCACAAATCAAAAAGGTTTTGTTTCTCCGTTTTTAAACAGTGAGCTGTGCGAGCGCCTGGCCTGAGCTTTTTCAGGACGCACCTGAGGAGAAGGCAGGTAGAGCCGGCCCCTCTGCACGCAGTCCCAGGCGACCAGCCTGCTCACTCCGGGCCTTGCCTCCACACACTCCTACTGGTCTGAGAGGCTCAGATCTGACTCGAGATGCAACACATCTGCTCCTTCCGATGTTGAGAATTCCTATCCAGGGGGTGGAGGGTCTTGTGTTTCTCACTTCGCTGTCAAGGGCAATGAGCTTGTGGCCACGCTGGCTGGGGCTTCTCCTGCTCTGCATCTTGTTTCTACGTTAGAGCTGCCTGCAGGTGGGGCCTGGGGCCTTCCCCGCTGTGGAGCATGACACTGTCACTAGGCGTGCTGTAGTTGTCTTCTCTTCTGGTGCTCCCCAAAGACGGAGGCTGTGTGAGGACCGAGCTGTCTCTACCACTTTCTGCTGCCGATAAGCCAGGAAGGGCCCTCGGCTGCCGGCACAGCTCCTGGCCCTTGGCACGCCTACTTGCACTCGTCTCTGGCCTTCATGCGGGCAATGAAAGAGTAGCTCTTGTTCCTGCGGTAGTTCTCGTAAGGGTCGTCCAGGGCCACGCCCACGCCCTTGTACTGGTCCCACTTATCCCGGACATCCCCGCCCTTGATGGGGTCCTGGATCCCTTGCTCTTTCACGCCGAGGCCACCAGATCCACTCCAGCCTTAAGAAGAAAGAGGGACATGTGGTTACAAGCCACAAAGGAGGCCAAAATTGTGCACTTACCCTGATGTAAAGTCACATGGGAATGCATTTGGGGAGCTGAACGACATAGACGTGCAGTTTACAAATGTGAAACTGACGTGGTGAGAAAGCACACCCAGCAAACCCTGCAGGCTCGCCCTCTGTAGAGCTTCTGACAGTGAGCTGGAACTTCTCTGACTCCGCTCCCCAGTCCTGAGAGCCCAGGGCGGGTGCTGATCTTCCCAGGAACCTTACCCATTTTCACCAGCATCTGATGTCCTTTGTTCTCTTCCCCGAGCCTGGAGTCAGGTATAGGAGGTGCTGAATTAGAACCCAGACCAGCCGAGGAACTAAAATTAAGACAGGTTACGTCTTTTAAAAAAGAGCTGATAGATTTATTGGAATGAATATTAGAATATTACAGGGTGTAGTGTGTGTGAAGGATCACCAATGGAAGATGGACACACACACACACAGCGGGTCTCTACCATTCTTCTTCATCCTCTTCGCCAGCCAGATAAGAGGGCTCCCTAAGAGGATGCTCCTGCCCCACACTGAGCAAGGGCTGCTCACACTGAGAGCCCTTAAAAGGGTTAGAAACACAGAGCCCAGCCACCACCTCAGGCTTTACAGCGTGACTGTAAAAAGATAAGACTGCGGTGTGAAATGAGGAGGTGCCACTGTCACTGCGCTAGTGCTCGGGGCCCCTGAGGCGCCGCCTCAGCACGGGCCACCGTGAGCACATCTTCTAAAGACACGTTTCAACATTCACAGCAAAGCATCAGAGGGTTCCAGTGCTACCAGTGGGTCCCTCGACAGTTAAGACAGAAATCTTACGGCGGGGTAGGGCTCCTGGACCTCGACCGGCGTCTCCTTCCTGGGGAGTAGGACTTGGAGCGGGAGCGGGAGTGGGAGCGGGAGCGGCTTCTCGAGGAGCGTGATCGGCTGCGGCTCCTGCAGGGAAGGGGAGAGCGGGCAGAGTATGGGGGGTCGGCGGGGCAGCCTCAGGCCTCGAATCCCCAAGGGGCATTGCCCTGCCTACCTGGAGCGCGAGCGGGAGTAGGAGCGGGAGCAGGAGCGTGACCTTGACCGTGAGTAGGAGCCAGATGACTTGGAGGACCGTGAGTTGGAGCGGGAGGAAGAGCGCCCTCGGCTCTTGGATCTGCTCCGAGACCTTGAGGGTCCGCTGCAGGGAGAGGCCTGGTGAGCTGAGTCCAGCCTGCCCCTGCCCGGGTTTCGGCGAGACCCCAGGTGTGCACGGCCTGGTGCAGACTCGCCCCTTCACATCAGGGTATGCGTTCCTAAATAGCTGGTTGAATACAGACTACAGCAAAGTGCTCTCTTGTGCTGGTGTTTTACGTTTTAACTCAGGCCTTGGGGGAAGCAGCTCTGAGCGGCTCACCCGCCTTGATCAGACTGTGCCAGACCCCTGCAGGATCCAGGCAGGGGCCAGAACCGACCTCCCTGTGCTGGGAGGGGCGTGACAGGACAGGGTATGCTCTGAAAGGCAGGGACTCCCTATTAGCCAATTCATGACTAGACGCAGCCGGGGAGGGACGCTGGGCAGCACACGACAGTGGGCAGGGCAGAGACAGCAGACACTGGGCCCTCACCTGTTCCTCTTCTCCTGGCCTTTCCTCCGCCGGGCCCGCATCTTTGCTCGAAAGAACTCATAGAGGCCGTTCTGCTCCCAGCCTTCGCTGTAAGATACGGCGTTCCCCAAGTGACTGCACGCCTCCCTCCCGCAGGGACCTTGTAAAAAGGTCAGGAATAGACCCCACCCGACAAGACTTCTTGAGCGCAGCCTCCCTTCCCTTGTTCACTCACGACCTGAGCACGGGCCCCTAGAGAAGCACCGGGTGGTCACTTCCACGGTGCTGCCCTTTCTCAGATGAGGAAGCAGGCCGAGGCCAGGCCGCCTGCTGGGAAGCGGAGGCTGGGACGGGAGCCCTGCTCCACGGCTTGCAGGCCTTCTCCATGATGCCGTTTTAGGAAACAGCTGAGGGTCTTGGGACCTGTGGGCATGGTGACTGGGGACAAGGAGCTCTGACTCACAGATGGGCAGGCCTACAGCTCAGCTCAGGACAGAAGACAATTTTAGCTACACTGATGGTGAGGCCACTGGGAGAGGGTATCCTGAGAGGGACCCGTGACAAAGCCTGGTGTGTGCAGCAGCCAGGTGCTTCTGAAACATGCCCTGTCTGAGGTAAGTTCTTGTACTAACGTGTCCTGACTAGGAAAGCCCTTCATCGAGGGCACCCGAAGCCAGGGGAGAATGGGACTGGTGTCTTCTCCTGGAGACGGGTGTGTTTCCTCACCTGAGCTGCACACCACCCTGGGCATAAGGGTTAGTCTTTCTCGTGAAGCAAACTTGGGAAGACAGGCCAGGAGAGGAAACAGAGGCCTTCCCTCCCATCAGCAGCCCCGCTGCCCGGTCCCCTCAAGCCCCGTACCTGTTCCTGGGCCTGTCATGGGAGGGAGGGCTGTAGAAGGCCTCCACGGCCGCCAGCAGCCTCTCACTGGGCGGCATGGGGGGCGGGAGGCGGATGTCTTTAGGGTCCAAAGGCTTGTACTCGTGGTCTTCCAGCTGCAGCGGAGAGAACAGCTGTCACCCTCGCCTTGCGGAACCCCCTAAGGCCCACCCAGGGTGCGGCAGGCCTAGGGGAGGTGGGGGGACACAGGGCGTGGGTTGGGGGTTGGGTGTTAGAGCTCCTCACCCTGCCCTTCCTGGGAAATCCCACCCTCTTGTAGGGCTGCAGCCACTATGATTTGATTACTACATGGGGTGGTTGAGGGCTCCTTTGAGGAGGATGAAAGGCACAGAGTTCCCTCTCCAGAAAATGCACGGAAGACATGGCCTCAAGTTTAGGTGACAGCAAGACCCCTTGGTTTATTCACACACGGGATCCCAGATGCCCCACCTGCAGACCACTGCCCTATGCTCCCGACTCCACCTGGGAACCCGTTATCTCCCCTGCTCGGCCCCCTCCCTTGGTCCGAGTAGCCTCAGCCCAACCCAGGAAGCCCCTTCTCCAGGAAACAGCTCACCCTGCTGTCCCCTTGCTCCGCTCCATCTCCCAACCCGGGAGTAGCCCCGCCGGCCCCTCTGCCTCCATGCTGCCCTGGCGTGACCCTTGTCAACTTTCAGTCTGGTGTCTCAGAGAGAACGGGAAGTGGCAGCGACCAGCAGGGCTGGCATGGCCCTCAGAGCCCTGGAACCTGACCTGGCTCCTTTCTCAGCTCACCTCCTCTGGAGCAGCTCCCACCCAACCCAGCCCTGCTCACCTAGCTCCTGAGATGCTGCCCCTCCCTGTGCCTGCAGATCCTTGCCTTCCCTGCAGGTGCGGCTCAGGCTGCCCTCTTCTGAGAAATCCCTCCACTGTCAGCCCCTGGACAAAGTGGTTTCCGAGGGCCAGGACCCAGAGGATCCACGCCTCGTGCAGAGCCCAGCAGCTCGTGGCTATAAAACTCGCAGTGCTGGGAGGGAGGAGTGGAGGGAGCGGAGGAGATGTGGCCCTTGTTCACTACCATCTCAGGGACAGCGTCTGTGGGGCAATGATGTTGGCTCAGGTTCCTCCTCGCTGACTAGCTGGTCAAGTTCACTGGACGGTTGGAAATGAGAGGGGAAGGGGCCCTGGGAAGCAGCGCTTTGTAGCCGTTGGGGAACCGGTTCCACCTGTGAACCCCTCCTCAGGAGGGAGATGCCAGCACAGTGTGCAGCTGAGCTCGGCGCTCGCCATGGCAACATTACCTTCACAAGGGGGGCCATCAGCCCAGCAGGGAGGTCAAAGTAGGGCACATTGGGGACCAGGCTGGGGTCGTCGTGGTTGATGTGGGGAGGGCCCTGTCGCCGCATGTGGGGGGGCTGCCCATTGAAGCCATGGGGAGGAGGGCCGAAGTCAGGGTGCTGGGGCCCACCCCAGGGTGGGTGCTCGTTGATCCCAGGATGAGGCATGCGGTGGCCAGGGTGGTGGTGAGGGGGTCCCATCTCTGCAAAACAGAAACCTGTCTCAGGCCTGCTGCGACAGGGTGAGTGGGGCAGTGCCAATGGCTCAGTCAAGATCTCCGAGGTGACAAGTGTCAATGGAAAGGGGCGCCTTTGCACTCACCAGTAGGGAAGTCCCCCTGGGGGTAGTCGAAGCGGTGAGGATAGGGAGGCCGCTCGAAAGGGTGCCGTGGGGGGAAGTCGTCTTGCATGAAGCGAGGTGGGAAGCGGTTGAAGTTGTGGGGGTGCGGGGGCTGGTTGAACTGTGGGTGCTGCTGGTGGGGTGGGAAGGGCCCGCGGAAGTGTGGCGGCCGCTGCATGCGGAAGGGCGGCTCTCGCTGGCCCCCACCCCAGGGCGGCTGCTCGTGCTGGCTGTTCCAGGGGCCCTCGAACTGGCTGTTCCAGTTGGGGTCGGGCTGGCTGTTCCAGGGTGCATCGCGCTGGCCATTCCAGCCAGGGTCTCCGCGCTGCTCACCCCACATGCCCTCGTGGCTGTTGTTCCAGGGTGGGCAGTGGGGCGGCCCGCCCTGGTGGTGTGGATAAGGGGGCTGCTCGGGAGGCTGCAAGGCAAAGAGCAGAGGTGAGCCCCTCCTGAGGTCGGCCCAGCATCCTGGCAGCCATCCGGTGTCTGACTGTGAAGGCGGCCTCGCATCAGCACGGCCCGGTTCTGCTGGCTGACAGTCCTGCTGGGTGGCGCCCTGGGCACATTACAGGGCGTTGTTTACTCTGACATGTGCAGTGGATGCTGTAGTGGCTGCCCACACCACTGGCTCCTCGCGTCCATGCAAATAACCAGACTCCCAACTGTTGTACCCACATCTCAGCTGAGGGGCTCCTCTGTGCCAGCATGCAGGCTGGGCAGGCCCAAAGTGCCGGGGACCTGAACACCCCCTGCCCCAGTGTCTCTCTGTGGACAGTGCAGAAGTGCACCCTTATGGCTTCCAGAACGCACAGAGCTGCTGAGTCCCGGGGGCCACGGTGGAGACCCACGCTGATGACACCCCCTTTCCTGGACGCTCTCCCTTCCCCTCACCCCTGCCCTGTCTCCTGGGGTCACCTCCCACGTAAACCACGTGCCCTCAAGTCCTCGTCTCAGGGGCTGCTCCTGGGCCCACACCAGGAAAAGTCTTTTTGTGGGTTGAACACACCTAAGTTCTGGATCTCACCCAGCCGCTGCTTTGAAGACTTAAAGCCAGGACTGCAACCCCAACTCGGGGCCGGGCTGGTATGTGCCCGGGTGAGGCCGACCAGAGAGCCCACCTCTAGGCCATGGCTGGTTAGCTCTGCTAACGGCTACTATGGGAGGCCAGCCCAGGCCACCACACCCTTAGGTCTTTCGAGAGAAGCAAGAAAGCCACATTTTAAATACGGCAACTATTTCAAACTGTGTAAGACACCACGTGAGCAGGCCAGGCCAAGCACACTGCCAGCCCGTGGTTCCTGACTGTGGACTGCCAGCCCAGGGCGGATCCTCGGTGAAGGGGCCCCAGTGTCACAAGCGTGACCTTCCAATCCCCAAAGACTGAGCCAGGAGACACTAGGGACCTGTCTCCACACGTGCAGAATGGCAATGAAAACCAGTCCCACGCCAGAAGGTGCCCAGAAAACCCCCCACACTGCACGGGCTCATTGCCAGCACTCCGAGCAGGACCTGTCTTTATGGGGATGTCCAATCTTTCATGAAGTTAAATCTCTTGCCTTGAAGCTGAGGGTGCGGTGGAGGGACTCAAAGCCATGACCCCCACTTGTCAGCCCAGAGCTGTCTCACTTCCATCCTTAAGCCCCTCCCCACACAATCACCTGGGAAGGCCTCGCCCACCCTGCCCAGTCGAGGGGAATGTGGACGCCCGGGAAAGGCCAGGGACTGTACCACAAGGCTCCATCTAACTGGATCCCGTGGCTGGAGAGCAAGCTGCAGGTGTCTCCCAGCCCTACTACGCTGGATGAGGTGAGCCCTGCCCTGGCCTATAAGTTTCCAACCCCAAGGAACCAGGGAGTGACCAGCAACGCAGCCCCAGAAAATGCCACCAGCCTGACATTTCTGACCTTCTCCTTCCTTAGGAAAGCACCACGTTCCTTCCAGGGTGACAAGATGCTGCCACTTTGCTAGTCAGACCAATCCAAAAAAGGAAGGAAATGGAACACCTTGCTGAACTGAACCGTGTGAAATTCCCCGGCACTCACAGGAGAAGGGGACCTGTGTTTCTCACTGCGAAGGTCGGGTAATCAGACAGCCGGGACGGAAGCACAGAGCTTTCTTGCTCCGCCCTGTTCCCACACCTCAGGAAGGCGAGGCTGTCACACTCTCACCCAGCCTGGACCCCACTAAAGAATCTCAAGTTTCCCAGTGAGCCACTAAAAGCCCACCAACTCGCACAGGACACCGCCCACCCGCCTGCCGCCCCTGAGGCCCAAGCATGCCCCACCTGCCCTGCCACAAGTTGAAGAAATACCTGCTGTTGGCCCCAAGGAGCAACGGGGTGAGGCTGGTCAAACCACGGGGGCTTGTTAGGTGGGATCTGGTCATGGGGCGCAGGGCCCCGGGGCCCAGCGGCGGCAGGGTCCTGGACCCCTCCTGAGGTGTCGTACTCAGAGGACCCTGGCATCTGGATGGGGGGCTTGTCATCTAGAGCCAGGAAGGAAGGCAGTGAGAGAAGGCCCCTGGCAGCAGGGGTGCTGCCTGACACTATCTTCAGCAACCACCCAGGGCCAGCCCGGGCTGGGCTTTACTTCCCAGCAAATCCTTGCTTCACGACCCCACTGAAAACTGTGATGGCCTCCAGGAAGGCAGCAGGACAGGCCTGACCTTGCACAGGACTCACATCCTTCTCTGAAAGCTTTATAGTATCTTATTCTGCCATGCTGACGACTCTTTATCACTGAATTTTATTAAATGCCTTTCTGTATCTAGTTGAAAAATCACTCCTGCCCATCTGATCTGTATTTTATTAGATTTCCTAGTGTTAAAGCATCCTTATATATTCCTGGGATATATCCTTTCTGGTCGTTTTTAAAATACCTGTGTGGATTTCACTTGTTAAGATTTTGTTCAGTATTTCTGCACGCTTGTTCGGAAGTGACACTAGATTATGTTTTTACTTCTTTTCCTGTCCTCGTCCATCCAGTGTGTGAAAGTCACCCTACTCTTGAAGAGCGATTTGGGCAGCTTTCCTCTCTACCTGTCCTCTGTGACGGTTTGTACAGAAGGAGAACGGTCTGAGTTGTGAAGACTCATTACACTGACCTATGACACCACCTGCCCTGGTGCTTGTAAACAGCTTAGGATCTGGCCCTAGGACTGGGCCTGGGACTGCAAAACCAGAACCCTTGTCTGGGGAGAAGGATGTTTTCTTAGGGCTGCCTTTGAGGAGGGTGCTGGGGGAACCACGTACCGGGCTGGGTGGTTGGCTGGATGGCCGGGGTGGGCGTGGGGGCTGGGGGCGGGGCAGGTGGCGGTGGCGTGGCCTTGACTTCGGCTTCCATTTGTGGCATCTGGATTTGCTGCTGCTGCTGCTGCTGCTGCTGCTGGGCTAGGCTGTTGACAAACTCCTCGTGCTGTGTCTTGAGGGTCTGGATCTGCTGCTGGAAGGCCAGCTGCACCGGCTGGACCACCGAGGAGTACTCGTTGATGAGTGTCGCCTGGTAGAGAGAGAGAAGAGCAGCCGACACTCAGGATGCAAGCCTCAGGTCCCACACCTTCTGGAGCAGCATGGGGACAAATGCTGGAGAGTATCCAGGAAGTTGGGGTGCTGCCACAGGCAGCAAGGCCCGGGGCCTGGAACAGGCAGGCGACTGTCATGTAAAACAATCAACACGGTCCTGACGATCACAGTGTGTCTGAATCTAGGCAAAGACTTCAGAGCAGTTTAGAATTTCCTAGTAAAGGGAACAAGTGATGACCTGGACGGCCACACAGATGTTAAAAACACGTCGCTGACGAACATTCTAGAACGTGGTCACGGCTCTCCTTCTGCCTCTCCGTGCCTTTGAGCAAGTCACAACCTCCCTGAGCCTCAATTTCCTCATGGGTATAACAGGACAATAATGGCACCTACTTCTGAGGATGGCGGAGAGAATTCAGTGACGTAACACACGACAGGGACTAATGTGGGGGAGCTCAGTAAATATGAGCGGCCACGACCAACTCAGAAGAAAAACGCAGTTCACGTCACTGTGGTGTGGTGGTACCCACTTTTATTTAACAACACAAAACACTGGGTGAAATTCAGAAAAAGCACAAGATGCACTTTCCCTGTTTGCCTTTCTGAACAGGAAAGCTTCTCGCCTATGGGGAGGGTGCCAGTTAGGACCATCACAGAGGAACCGGTCAACACAGAGGTCCCAGCATTCAACCAGACCTTTGCAGGGAAACAGCCTCTGGCCAGACCAAGCACAGGGGTGCGAGCTGTGCCTGTTATTCTAGCAGCGGCGGATGGGACAGCAGTGCCGGTGCCACCACAGAGGTGACCAAGGGGACCCGGCCGTCCCCTCCCTGCCCTATGCCCTGTCCTCTGAGCAGACGCCCTCAAGAAGGTAGACGTGCACACAGGGACCACTGACAGTGCACGACAGAACAGCCGAGGCAGCCTGGACTACGTGAGGTTTCCTCGTGCTTCCACCGTGGGGAAGCATGCCTGGAGGACCAGAGCCAACAGGCCAAAGACTCCACTGAGAGCAGCACCTCAATTGGGCAACCTGGTCACAAGGATGCCAGGAAAGAAGTCTGGTGGGCTTATCTGGGAGGGGCTCACCAGCTACTGCGGATTCAGACCCTGGCCCCTGCTCACCACCATCCCAGAGGCACACCTGGGGCCCAGTTCGGAAAATGCCACCCGGTCTTGGACGATGCCACCCACCCAGCGGTTCCCAGCCCCAGCGGGGGATGTAGGTCCCTGACTTCTGGGAACGCGCTGTGGTGGCAGCTGCCACAGCCTGGGGAGCTGGCGGCCGGGCCCCAGGGAGCAGCAAGGGTGGCGGCGGCACTCACCTGGTACTGGCCAAGCCCCAGGGCCGGGCTCTGTAACTGCTGGATGATGGAGTCGTCAAAATAGCCGTTTTTCTCCCAGAGCTGCAGGAGCTGGACATGGGGGAGGAGGAGGCCGGGTCAGGGGGAACAAGTGGCCCCAGCCCTGTCCCCTCCTGCCCCCCTGGCTGCCCCACATACCCGGGCAATCTTCTGCTGCTTGTCCTCCTCCACGGCCAAGAAGCTGGTGCAGTAGATGGGCACCACGACCTTCTGCAGGGCGGCCAGCAGCTCCCTGGCCTGCTTGCGCTGGCTGTGAGGGAGAGACCTTCCGCGCGTCAGGGCCCTGGGGCGGGACCCGGCCACGCGCCCGTTACCATCGCGGCACCAGCCATAGCACCCTCTGCCTTCTTGGGAAATGGGCCCCCAACCCGGCCAGGACAAGGGCTGGGCTCCCCATAAGACCTGTGCTGGCGCCTGGGCCCGAGTGACAGATGGACAGCAGTGGGAGGAAGGAAAGAACACAGCCTGGAGACCTTCAGAACAAAGCCTGTCACCCTGGTCTCCTTGTCAGTAAGATACCCCTTCCCCCCCAGGGTGGCGTGCATGGACAGACATGGCGCCTCTAAGAGCCCCGGCTGTCCACAAAGGGTGGGCCAGGGCTGCTGTGGGCTCAGGACCTTGTCCATACAGCCTTGCTCAGCACCGTCAACCCCGACACACAAGGAAACCTGGGCTAGGGCACCGCCTTTCAGGAGGCAGAGGGAGCACGCTGGGTAACCCAGGAAACTAGGGACCCAATGCTTGGCAGGTTAGACAGCCTGCCCCCACAGCCCCTCAGGGGAACTCTGCATAAATGGGTGCGGAGGCCCCTGTGGCTGTGCGATGAGGTGGCACGGGACCCCAGTGTAGTGGTGGGAGAGCCCAGATGGCACATCTGCTGCCTCCCAGGGGAAGCCGTGGGGCAGAAGTGGCTTGAACTCCTCCAAGTGCCAAGCTCACCAGAGAGAGCTCAGAGAGAGAAGCAAGGCCCGGGGGCCGGGAAGCCAGCCAGGGAAGGGAAGGCAGTCCAGGTGGGAGGACAGGGCGAGCGGCATGGGGCTTCTGGACAGAGCAAAGCTCAACAGCATGGCTGAAGAACTGCCAGAAACAGGGCTGTCTCTGCAGACCTGCCCTGGAGTCAGCCAAGTGGCTGGCGTAAGCACGAGGGCAGAGAAGGTTCCGAGCGGGTGCTTATTTCCAATGGCAGAGAAATGAGGGAATGATACAAGGAGTGGCTGCGTGGAAATGGAGCTGCCTGCGTGGCAGAGGAAACAGGGAGGGGTGGGGACCCAAGCTGCACATGTGGCAGAGATGGGACAAGAGAGGGTCCAAAGTCAGGGTTGGGCTTAGGCCAAGCTCAAAGCCAAACGTGGCAGCCACTCCTGCTGCCCACACGTTAGTTTCACTACAACGTGTGCTTCTGCCCGTCTCCTCCCCCGGCCTGCTGTGGCCCACGTGTCTGATTTCCTAAGTTAGCCTTTGTCATAAGGCACCAAAGAGGCTGTGCAGAAGTAAACACCGGCCTGGCCTTGGGGAGGGCTGTGTGTGGGGGCTGGTGGTCTCTGCAGGAAGGGACAGAGGGTCAGCAAAGGGGACCTCGTGGGAGGGACCCTGAAGCAGAACAGTCAGGTGACAGGCCTGTTTGTGTGTGTGCACGTAGATCAGCAAAGTGGAGCTGGCAGCCCATATAGAGAGATGCTGCAAGATACCCAGAAACTGCCCAGAGGGGAGCAAGGAGTGAAGGGACAGTGCCCCAGGTGAGGTGAGGGGTCTGGGATACGGGGCAAGGTGGGGCGGATGGCGTGTCCTCCCGAAGGAGGGCTCGTGGCTCAGATGGACCCTCCCCCAGGGTCTTTGGACAAGTGACCCCCAGTACCAGGCCAGGCCAGGCCAAGCTGCAGAGTGCAGAGCAGTGGCCCGGGAGAGGGCCAGAGGAGCAGGAGGGAAGGCGGAGCCTGGCAGGCCCTCACCAGTGGTGCAGGACATCGTTGATCAGATAGATGAGGTGCAGCCGCAGCTCGAAGTGTGCCCCGTCGGCCGTGATGCGGTTCCGCAGGTGGCCTGCCATCAGCTCGCAGTGCGGCGGGGACTTGGCGTTGCTGAACATCCAGTTCTTCCCGGCCTGCAACAGCCAGGCGGACGGTGAGTGGGGCTCGGTTCCCCCAGGCCAGAGCACATGTAGGCACCCTGGAAGGTCAGGGCACCCCCAAGGATGTGGGGCCCAAGGGCTTGGCTGCTCGCTGTGGCCTCCGCCTGCCTTCCTTCTCACTCTCAGATGTGCTCGAGAGAGAAGGGAAGGGGTAGACGAGGCGCCCCGAGGGCAGCACCAGCCTAGACAGGCTGTGGTGGGCTCCCACCTCATCAAGAGCCACATCCCCACCCGGCCCCACCTGCCCTCACCGAGATGGCATCTTTGGTGCACGTGTCGATGATGGGCTGCAGCAGGCTGTCAAACTCGTTCATGTCCAGCTGGGTCTCCTCCAAGAGCTTCTGCATCTGCTGCTCCACGGCGTGGGCCACGGCTGCAGTCACCTGTTCCTGGGAGGCCAGGGGGACCCGAGACTGCATGACGAGGGGCCTGGGCCTGGGCTCCCAGCCTGGCCCATCAGTGCCCCACCCCCAGCACCAGGAGGCCCCGTCCCACACACCCACAGCCCCAGACACGCTTCTGGGACAGTCGTGGCCACGGCAGGCAGAGCAGGCAGACAATAAAGCAAGACAAGATATTGTGGGATCTGATGTCCGCCCCCGAAGGGAGAGACAGAAAGACTAAGACCCACAGAAATAAGGAACTTTTTAAATCAATTCAATGAAAAAAGAAAAACAAGCAACAGGTATGAACAGACATACAAACGGTCACTAGTCAAGTGACAAGAGAGCCACCTCACTAACAATTAGGGATTGCTAAAACACCAGGTTTTCGCCCATTAGATTTGCCAACTGAGAAATGGCCGAGATCCAGCACTGCTGTGGGGCAGGCAGTCAGCTCAGGGCTGCCAGAGGCTGGACGGCTCAGTCTGTGATGAGCTCCGTAAGGAAACTGGGGTGAGCGTTCTGGAATGTTTGGTTTTCAGCAATACGACAGTAATTTTACATCTGGAATCTAATAATAAAACTGGGGCTGAGGTTTTGGATGCCTTGTTTTCCCCATCACATTTTCCTGGCAATTCATTTGTATTTAGCCAAAGTACCAGCCTGTGAAGGACTGGGACAAAAGGGTCCTTCCCCACAACAGCTTGGGGCAACCTAGCTAGCAGGAGCCGGTGCCGGCACCAGAGGCCACCTGGCAGCCTCTGCTACAGTTTCCATGAGCAATCCCACTTGCAGGCATCTACCCCAGCACGACAGGTCAAGAGCTCGTGCAATGATTTCACTGGAATGAGAAGCAACCTCAGTGTCGGATGTCAGGGGTCAGGCTAAACACACCATGGGTGGTAGCAGCACTGGGTGACAGCAGCTGACGTGCAACGAGCCCTGGGCAATGGGGCAGCCCTGTCCTCAGCAGTGACACGTGGTAACGAGTCCTCCTGACAGCTGTTACTAGACCCAATGTACAGACGCAAACACCCAGGCCCCGGGGTGAGCCCTGGGTACCCATCTCAGGACCAAGGGGCAGGTGGGAGGGCCCCAGCCTACTCAGGTACCTGTCTCAGGCGGGCTGGAGCGGGAGGGAAGAGGAGCAGGCCCCGTACCTGTCTGAGGGCCAGCAGGTGCTGCTCCTGCTGCTGCAGGTTCCACTGGCTCTGCTGGATGAGCTCGTCCATGGATGGGGCTCCCTGGGCTGCTGGGATGGGCGCAGTAGGGGCCAACGGGGGCTGTGGCAGGGGTGGCAGGGCTGAGGCCGTCTCCAGCTCTGGGGCCTGCTGCTTGCAGATGACTGGTGGGAGAGGAGGAAAGGTGGTCCCCATGAGGAGGTGGCTGGGGTCCAGGTGTCCCCACCGGCTGCCTCTTAGGCAGCTCTAAGCCACAGGGGCTCCCTCTTCCTACACTTACCACCCACAAGAGGACCCTGTGCACTGTGCTATGGCCACCCCTGGCCCTTCCCCATCACTCTCTGAGCCCGGCCCCTCCTTGCCCGCCCCATGCCCACCCTGCCCTCAATTTCAGAGGGCCCAGCCCCAGACTCCTTTCTGTGTTCCCATCTACTGCCTTCTACTTTCGTGCCCATGCACTCCTTGGAGATCCTCAGGACCGTCACCTTGCCGCTCTCTAGCCCACTATCTGACCTTGCCCACTGTCCTTCCGGCTCAGACCAGGCCCAGCCCCTCCACACCTCGCCAGGTCTAGACTGATGCTGAACCCAGACCATGGCTGCTGCCGGACAAACAGCCCCTCTGCCCGGGTGTCTCTTGTCCCTCAGCCTCCTCAGCAGCTATCTGTAATAGCTTTGCCACTGTCCCCTAATCTACTCTTCACTTTCAAGACATCAAAGCCACTGGACCTCTGGCTGGCCAGCCAGTGAGCCCACGAACCTGTAACCCCATGGCAGGAGCACACCAGCTCTCAATTTCACAGCCAAGATTCATCTTCAGTTCTTCATCTTTCCTTATTCTCAACCCATGGCAGTCTGGCTCCGTCCGCCCACCCACCCCTACTCCCAAGGCCGCTGCGGACACCCTTACTCAGCCCGGTGGCCCCATGTCAGGTTCTTGTCTCACTTGGCCTGTGTGGCCGCTCCCCTGGCCCCTTCTTCCTTCTGTGTCTACAAAGGACCCAGTATTAAATGCTGGCGTACCGGGTCTGGGTACTAAGAGCTCTTCTTCGTACAAGGCCCCAGAGGGATGTGATACACTCCCATGGCTGCAGCTATGATCTGCACTCTACAATTCTGAAATCTACCGTCTCCATTCTGGATTCCTCGAGCTCTGGATCTGATTACAGACCAAACAGCCCACAAGCTTTCCACAGGCACCTCAGACAGGCACGCGTCTCCTCTCTCCCCAGGTTCTACCCCTCAGCGCAGCCCCTTCCCCATCTCCGCGGCTGGCACAGCTAGGCCCACGGACCCAAGCCAGAAGCCAAGAAAGTACATGTACTTCTCTCTCCCTTGCACCTCATGCTAGTAAGTCACCCCATGCTGTCAAGTCAGCTCCTGGCTCACACTCCAATTGTCACCGCCATAACTCTGCTGTCACCTGCATCACCCTTGGAACTGGTCTCCCTGCATCCAGTCCCACCCCCTCCAGCTCTTCTCTACACCACAACTGTACTGCGTTGTTAGTGCCATCGAATCACTTCTGACTCCTAGTGCCTCTGTGGACAGCAGAGCAGAACCCTGCCCGGTCTTTTTACACCATCCTCTCACCTTCCAGTGCTCTACCAGACAATGCTCTACTGCTATTCATAGGGTTTTTGTGGCCAATTCTTTGGAAGTGGCTGGCCAGGTCCTTCTTCCTGGTCTTAGTCGGGAAGCTCCGCTGAAACCCGTCCACCATGGGTGACCCTGTTGGTATTCTGAACTACCGGTGGCAGAGCTTTCAGCATCCCAGCAACACACAGCCGCCAGAGCGTGACAACCAACAGATGAGTGGTATGGTTCCCTGACAGGGAAACAGACCCAGGCCGTGGTGGTGAGAACACCGAATCTTAACCACTAGACCTCCAGGGCTGGCCGTAGTGCTGCTGCTCAAAGTGTGGTCCGAGGACCAGCTCCAGGTGATATCAAGACTAGATGAGTACAGAAATGGTAGAGCATTCTGGCACTTTTGTAGCAATTTGATGTTTCACGCTTTACATTTTCACTGTACCTCGCAAAGGTGTACTTTCCACAAGATTGGAAATTTTAAAGAACAAAAACCAAAAACTAGTACCTCACCAGTGTTCATGAAGTGCCATTCTAGAACAGTCCTGGAAGTCAGTCTTCTCCAACTCCCTGGGTGAAGGGGAGTCCACACAGTGTCTAACCCTGCTCCAGAACAGAGTACAGAAACCCTTCAAGAGTTCCCCCAAAACTTCAGGGAGAATTCCTAAGTTCTTGGCAAGCCAGCCCTCTCTACTCTGCACTTGCACTTCTAGCCACTCCGAGAATCCCTCCTTCTCTGGGTTTCAGCCACCACAAGCTTTGTCCCCTCCACTCCCCAGCACCTCCTAAGGCTCCTTCCTCTGCCTGAACACTTTTCTCTCCTCAGTTTCCAGCTGGCTAACTCTGACACATTCTTTAATACCCCCCGAGACATTGTTACCTGCAGAAAGCACTTCCTGAGCCCCAATCTTCCCCTGCTAGAAGCACCCCTTCCTTCCTCCGTTACGACACCTAGTCCCAAGCAGCCTCTGATTTCTGACCCTCCAGGGTGGGAGTGGGGTCCCCTCGCAGGGGAGCAGCTCTGGCCTCACAGTCACTTGAGCCAAAGCACTGTTTTCCCCAACCCGGTTATGTCACCCTTATCAACATCCAACTGGTGCCAGTTCACGGATTCTACTCCTTAACCCCACCTGCCCCATGCCCACTCCTCTGACTCAACCCGCTGACCCAATTCAGACCTCACCACCAACTGCCCCCTTCATTCACCTGCTGCCCTCCACTCATGCTCCCTCCAGCCTGTCCTCCACCCTGGCCACACAAACTGGACGCATCTCTCCCTTATTTCGAACTGTCTCGTGGCTGCCCACTGCCATCAGCAGGGGTTTTAAAGTTGACATGCTATGGCTAAAGGACAGTTGTTCCGGAAACACATAAGTGCATATAATGTATGGCCTACAACTTCAGGCAGCATGTCTCCTCACCCCCATCTCAAACCTAAATAGGCACCAGAACAACCCCTAGACTGAGGGAGAAAACCCAAACTTTCCCTTAGCATTCAGCACTTCAGATCAAACCCTTCCCTTCCCTACACGCGTTCTATGCTCCAGCCACACTGGGCCTCTCACGGTTATCTGAACACACTATGCTCATTCAACTCACTGCATCTTTGCTGTGTTTTACAAACCCCTTATTGAACACCTACTGTGTGCCACGTATTAGGGCACAACAATGACCCAAACAAGGTCTGGTTGGCCTCAGGGAGCTTGTAGTCCAGGGAGCACTGACCTTTCAATGCCCATTTGTTTGGCAATCCCCTACTCATTCATTCAAACAACGTATCTAAAAGTTAAGGATTTGCTACTGAACAAGACAGATGTGGCCTCTGCTCTTGGGGACCTTACTAACCGGTGACTATTATTCAAAGTCTATTATTGAAAGACCAGTTGTGATTCCTTATTTCATCTTAAACTCTTTGAAAACAAGGTCAGAATTCTGATGCCCAACTCAGATAACTCAGATGGATAAACATCTGCCAAGAACTAAAACCCAGAGGAACAATTCCTTTTTTTTTTTTTTTGTGAGGAGATCAGCCAATCCTCCTTTTTTTTTTTTGCTGAGGAAGACCAACCCTGGGCTAACATGTGGGCCGGTCTTCTTCGACTTTATATGGGACGCCGCCACAGCATGGCTTGTCAAGCAGTGCGTCAGCGCGCGCCTGGGATCCCAACCGGAGAACCCCAGGCCGCCGCAGCAGAGCGCGCGCACTTAACCGCTTGCGCCACTGGGCCAGCCCCGGAACAATTCTTTTTAATCTGGACTGCAGGTATTTGAAATGCACAAAACTCTGCTCGACCCACAGAGACCCCACAAACAGGGCTGGACAGCGCCTGCCCGGAGGGTCCCAGGTCGGCTTCTATCACTTCCTCCCTAGAAAACACTGAAGCACTCACTCTACTTCTGCTGACCTCAGCCATCATGTCCGCAAAACAAAAGAGAAATTTCTGATCTGGAGCCTAGAAGGAAAATCAATAACCTCATTCTTCATTACACTACGACCAGCAGCCGCTCGCTGCAGGGCCCTGGGGACAGTGGAAGGGATCATGCAGGCCGAGCTGCCCCATCTGAAAAGAGAGAGCACGCGACCCAAAAGAAGGCGGTTTGTGGCAGAACCCGGACTGGAACCAGAGAAAGGAATCGCTCGAGGGGGCGGCCTGGGAGCTGCAGAGGACTCACGCTGCTGCTGCTCCAGCGCCAGCTTGCACTTGTAGTAACTGTAGAACTCTCCTCCGAACAGAAACGAGAATTTCGGGTTGTCCTTCTGCTTCTCCATCGTCATCTTCTCAAACTCGGGCCCGTTGCGAGCCACGAACTGCGCCAGCTTGTCGATGACATTTCGAAGCTCCTGGTCTGGAGAACGGAGAAAAGGCCACGCGCGGCGTCAGGGAGGACCGCCCCAATGCGGGGGCCCTGGCGCCCCAAGCCCCGTCCGCCGGGCCGAGGTCCCTAAAGGTGGGCCCCGAAGAGGCCGCCCTGGTACGGGTCCTGATAGGAGCCACACGCGTGCCGGGGATGCGGGGACCCGCGGGAGAGGCCGCAGACGAATCCAGGAGGCCGAGCTCCGCCCCCTCCTAGACCCCGGGACCCCAGGAGGCGGGACTGGCCAACAGAGGATTCGGGGAGAGAGAAACGGTTTCTGAGCCAAGGCTGGGCCTCACCGTCGGGCGGCAGCGGCATCTCCATGGCTCCTGCGGCGAGGAACGTCCTCCGGCGCCTCACGATCGCCCACCAGCGCCGTCTGCGGAAGCCGGCCGGAAATGGCGCGAGAGAGCCGTTTACGGCTGGTCTCGCAGGCTGCTTCCGCCCGCCACTTACGGCCGTCTCCGGGAAACCCCGGAAGTGGAGGCAAGAGGAGGGCGGGAAGAAGCCGCGCGAAGCCGGGCGCGCGGGAGGGACTAGGGACGCGCACGCGGGGGCCTTTATCGCGCATGCGCGGGGTGGGCCTCTGTCGCGCGATGCCCGGGACCGGCCGTTAGTCGCGGCGGGGGCGGCTTCATTGGCTTGTGGCGCGCAGCCCGAGGGCTCGGCCGGCTGCTTTCTCCGCGGGACCAGGGGCCTGCGGGGTTCCTGCCCGGGTCGGGGCCTGTGTTTCCTCTTCGCGGGGCCGCGGTGAGGAGACTACGAGGTGAGGTGTGTCCGGGAGGCTCCTGGGCGGCCCGGAGGTGGAAGCAGAGCCGGGAGGCGACGGGCTGGGCGGGGATGGAAGTGGGCTTACTGAGCTTCGGAAGATCCTCCCGCTCGTTTCTTTACTCGACTGGCGCTTCGGGAAGGAAGACTTTGGGGTAAGGGACCCCTACTCGGCCGGCCTCGGACCTCGCCCCTGTGGGGCTCGCGCGGCCTCGGTGCCCCGCGGAGTGAGCGCGCACTACCTGCAGGCACTGCGCCTTCCTGAAGGATGCAATTACATGGCTTCCAAAGTGGTGGAGTTAGCGCGTGCTAACTGTGGGGAACGAACAAGAGGCGACAGACGTTAGAGAAGCGTCGGCTGTGGACGTCTCCTGCAATCTGACCCTTTTGAGATGCCCTTTGTTAACGCTGGCTCTGCCTCGCCATTTTTTATGTGCAAAGAAATGCCCGTGTATTTCAGATACATTTCTTTTTTATTGTTAGAAAGTTTCTCTGTCTAACGCTTATGGATTATCTCCTGTATGCCAGGTATTGTTCTAGGCCAGAGGTTGGCAAACTTCTTCTGTAAAGGACCCGATAGCAAATATTTTAGACTGTGGGCCAAGAGGCAAAATCGAGGATATTATGTAGGTACTTATATAACCAAAGAGAAAATGTCCATAATGTTCTTTATTGGTGGAATTCAAAATGTAATAATTGAGTAAAGTTTTTAAAATACAGGTCTACTAATGAGAAGAATGGAATGATTTTGGGGGGTCCAAGTTAAGTCTTCCCTGTCAATTGATGCGAATGTTCGCCTGTAAAGACCATTCTTGGTTCACGAAAAGGCCGGCTGGATGTGGCATGTGGATCCATGATGAACAAGTCAGACCTAAGCTCTGCTCTCCTGAGCCCAGGGTCTATGGGGGGCCAGAGACCCATAAATTGGTAAACAAGTCTATCATCACAAAGGTGTTAGTAAGGAAAACAGCAGAGTGCTGAGACCTTGAAAAGGGAGGAGGGCAGGGTCTACACTGCTAGGGTTGTCAGGGATGGCCCTGGGAGGTGAGGTTTGCCCTGAGATCCCAGTCAGGAGCTAGCCGTGAACACTCCAGGCAGAGGGAACATCCTGGGATTGTTCCATTTTGTATAATGCTCAGTAATCTGGATAGTGGGCATTTTTCCATGCCAGTAAAGATCTACATCAAGAAGTTTTAACTTGTGATCTACCATGAATGGACTTCAGAAATAGCACAATATTGTACATATATGCATTTTCGTGACTTGGAGACACACAGCCATTTTATCAGATTCTTAACAGGATCTGTGAACCAGAACAGGTTAATGAATCTGTATGGTCATTTTTAATGACTACATAGGACATTGTGGTGTGGATTCCTGTAATTTATGGAAGCCAGCCTCAATGGAGTCTCCTGTGTTGGTTTCATTTTTAGACCGCTATTGAAAGTGTCTTAGGTGTATATATAGATTTTGTGCTGAGTTGAAGGGTGTGCACATTTAATACTGACATTGCTCAGCTGCCCCCACTAGAAAGATGGTACACCCATGACCACTACATTCATACATTTCTTTCATAGTGTTTAAAATGTCATTTATCTGAGACTGAAAATATAAGCATCTCAAGGCCTCATTCAGGCTCATTTCACTGGGCTAAATCAGAATCTACTGGTCAGAAAAAAGCGGTAGAGAGAGTTGCTAGATGTAGAGGCTGCTGCAGAGATGGTCTCCAAGAACCTGGAAACAAGACTCTAAAGGAAACAAGTGAAATGCACCCCCTCGGTGAGATGACCTTGCTGAAGGGGCCCACCTAACAAGCACAAATACCTGCTTGGATCTTGCAGACGTGCTGTGAGGAATGTAGCCCAGATGAGAAGTGTGTGCTACATTCTGCACTGCAAAGTTACCCCATAAAATGAAATGTAAGCATGCAGCGATAGGGGCTGGTTAATTATAGCACATCCCCGTAACAGGACACTGCAACACCACGGACACAAACAGAAAATCAAGGGAGAAGTGATTAACGTGGGGATAACATGGGGAAATGTTTCAGGAATATTTTTTTTGTTTCGTTTTTTTAATTTATTTATTGTTCCCCCAAAGCCCCAGTAGATAGTTGTATGTCATAGCTGCACATGCTTCTAGTTGCTGTATGTGGGACGCGGCCTCAGCATGTCTGGAGAAACGGTGCGTCGGTGCGCGCCCGGCATCCAAACCCGGGCTGCCAGTAGTGGAGCGCGCACACTTAACGGCTAAGCCACAGGGCCGGCCCACAGGAATATTTTTTTAAGCATATACAAAATAATATGCACAATATGCCAGTTTTGAAAAAAATGTATATGTATCTTCCCCAGAGGCAACTGCTGTGTCCATTTTCTTGTGTATCTTTTCAGAGAAACTATTCACAAGCACACTTATATATCTTAATGATATATTTTGGAAATTGTTCCCTCTATACATAGATCTATCTTTTTAGCATCTGCATAGTGCAGGTAATTTTTCAGCTTTAACAATTTTTTTCAAACTTAAAAAATATATAGACGATACAAGTTGTTACTTAAAACACAGTGGGTGGGGCCGGCCCCGTGGTGTAGTGGTTAAGTGCGCGCAGCTCCGCTATTGGCGGCCTGGGTTCGGATCCCGGGCGCGCAGCGACGCACCACTCGTCCGGCCATGCTGAGGCAGCGTCCCACATACAGCAACTAGAAGGATGTGCAACTATGACGTACAACTATCTGCTGGGTCTTTGGGGGAAAAAAAAGGAGGAGGATTGGCAATAGATGTTAGCTCAGGGCTGGTCTTCCTCACACACAAAAAATAAAAACAAAAAAACAATGCAGTGGGTGACTGAGGAAATCTAGGCCCATCCAGACATATAGTCTCAATAAAGCCAAAGCCTGGTGTGACTGTCAACTCATTTCCCACAGTAACTGAACTCCTGTGGTCAACTAGCTGAAGCCACAGCAAGAGGAAGGATGTGGGAACAGAGATGGTCCTGTCCATCCCAGAGCAAGGAGCATTCCTTGCGCCCGATCATGTGTCACCAGGCAAACCTCTGGTCACAAAGGAGTTGACCGGGGGAGACAAACAGGAATATACCAGTCTCTGGGAGAGGACACTTCTCGGTACTTCAGACTCTGGTATCTAAACAGTGGGGCCATCCCTAAACCTGGCCCTGCAGAACAAGCCTTGATTGTTAGGCGGTGACCCCATCCCACAGCAGAGCCTCCTGAGTGAAATGAAAGGCTACACCTATGTTCGCACCAGCTCCTCTTAGGAGTATGTGACAAAGGTGAGGAAAAACAAAACAGCTCACTTGATGGTGGCTGCTCTGCAGGGCAGAGGGCCCTGGGCTTGGAGTCACACTCCTGGGTTCCAGGCCTGCCCCGTGGGCTAAGCTTGCCTTTTCTGTTTCTGTTTTCTTCTGTAAAATGGGGCTAATATCTCCCTCTTGGATTCTGGTAGTTAAACGAGGCATATATAATACAAAATGTGCAAATAAAATACCCTGTGAATTGTAAATGCAAGTCAAAACATTCCCATATGCCCCTCAAATTACCCTGTACTTTCCTTCGACTTTTTTCACGTCCCTTCGACGTAGTGCCTGTGTGCTCCTTAATTACACATCTGTACATGAAGCTGAGTGCTCTGAGGGGAGGAGGCTGACGGATCTGAGTTCCTTGTACTTGGCACAGATTAAGTGCTCAGTAAATCACTGAACAAAAGGATTATGAATTAAAGGATGTAAGCAATTGTTTTAGCAGAAACTCATACCCTTCCACTGTGATTCAAAGAAATTCTCTGTTGGGAATGGTTTCTGAGGGGAAAGGGGCTCTGGAGGCAGACTGAAGTGGCTGTGTGATCCCAGACAAGTGACTTAACCTCCTGGGGCCTCGTTTTCCTCTGTGAAATAAGGCTGATAAAACAACATAGACAGACGATAAGGACTGTGTGTGAAAACCCACCACTGTCAGGCATGTGTAGGTACTCCATATTAGCTAGGAGTCCTCAAAAATATGCTTCATAAGCAGAGCTGCCACAACGTTCTTGGATTTTCCATGTTAATTCTGTTCAATAAAGGCATGTCATTAACTGTTAAGCTGTGGTTCTGGTTTTATTCTACCATCTCATAAATTCACAAATCACATGTCCTAGATTTTGGCTCAGGAAAAAAAATAAAAGGTTGCAATACACCTTGATACAAGAACCAAGTTGGTCTGCTCTTTCTACCTCTTGTATGTTTTGTTGCTGGGCACACTGAAGACAGGGTCACTCAGAAAGAGATCCTCACTGACAAACTGGGACCAATCTTGATTCCCTGGAGACCATCATTTATTTTTGGTGAATGCCGTCAATGAATATACACATGGTATCATTCCCACAGAACAGTCTTTAGCATTTAAATCTTGAAAAGAGGTGACAGTTGAAAAAAAGAATTCACAACTTTCAGATCCTTTAATAATTTAACATTCTATGCCCTTAAGGCCGGTAGAACTTAAGGTATCAGGGTCTGGCTACATCCCAGTGACGATAAAGGGCTTGTGGCATGATGTGTGCCAGATACACAGCAAAATTCAGAAATTCCAAGTGCTTTTCCACTTGAACATATCTGGTTTCTCTCCTTTGTAATAGCGGTTTTTGATTTTCCCTAGAATGAATGACTTAAAATAAGGTGCTTAAAAATTCCACAGCGAGTCTCCAAATAGTGAACAAACACTATTCAGAAATGCCCTCTGAGCCTCGGGTTCCCCTTCTATAAAATGAAGGAGTGGGGTTGGAGTTAGTGTCGCAGGCCAGACCCTACCATGGTTGGGTATGTGAAATTGGCTCCCACAAACCCAAGCAGTGAGGGGACTGAGGGGAACAGAGCTACAGATATGAATGAGGGGTGTAGGGTGCAGGCTGGGGGCCAGGGCAGGAAGTGGCTGGAAAACTGGCCTCCAGGAGGTCAATGTCAGCTCTGAACCTTCAAGACTCAAAAGTGTGTCTTTGTCTTCTGATCTGATGATTTGGTCTAATATGATTGTCTCATTCATTCCAGTGTATGTACCTGCTGTAAATTTATGTACAGAATCAAATATCCCATTTATTAATTTATAAACTGTAATAAAACCAGTCATTTCCCCTCACCAGCAGATCTTGCATTGGAAAAGGAAAATGAACTAATATACAAATTTCAGCAACAACAGAAATTTCATTAAACCTGAATAGAGGCATAATTCATTTTGGAGTTCAATTATCTATTCAAGGAATCAGTTACTATTATCATAAAGACAACCACTGTAATATCTTTGCTGTGCAAAATTATCCTCATTTGTTGTTACTCACCAGTGAGAAAAACTCAGCTGCAGACTCCTGCCTCTGGTGAAGGCACTCAGCAAGTTCTTGTCACAAATAACACCCTTCAGGATTGCCTCTTCTGGTTTTACACAGCAATTGTCTCAAAACCTGGGGCCAAAGTAATTATAAAGCAAGCAATAGACAAACAGGGACTCCTGAGGCTGGTGGTGTGTAAACTCATAGGCCAGGAGGTGACCCTGCGACCTCTCCAGGAGCAGCTCATTCATAAGCTGACAAAATGTAGCCTCTTAAATACAGAATTCCAATTATGAAACCAGGAGTCAAGCAGAAGCTACGGTGCTTCCTCCCTCAACAGAGAAATGTCTCACTCTCCAGGAGGTAAAGGGCGACTCGCCAGCCCATCTGCTCACTCCAAGTGCCTGTTCAAGAGGCTGGGGACGGTGCTGAAGGAAGAGGACAGCCATCACAGAAGACCCCACCAGCTGAGCCAGTGGTCCCCTCCGTGAGGGCATAGTCCTGTCATGATGCAGGAAAGACGGAGACCCCGCCCTGGACCTGGATGCACAGGCGTTACCTAGTGAGGTGACATAATCTTCCTGATGACGTGACTCTGCCAAAACCCGAACTTCTCTTGATCAAGGCATCCAATTTGGCACACCAAATCATAGCTTGGTGCTCACCCCCTCTCTCCTTCACTGGACATGATTCAGATCCTAACGTAAACACCACAAGAACAGGTCATGGAATCAGAGTGCTGCAGCCTCATCTGTTACAGACTGTTGAGATTCTTGATTCATCCCACCTTCAGCCATGGGGGTCATTAGAGAGGGGCTTCAGAACTCTTCACGGCCTCCTACTAAATGCCGAAACGTGTCAGGCGGGCAGCACCAGTAGGAACTTTTCTTGTTTTCAAACATTTAAAAACAAAAACTTTCCAATCCATAAGCCACTCCTCATGTGTCCCCTACTGGGGACCAAGGCATAAACACACACACACAGGTAGAAAATATTCCCTAGAAAAATGCAAGATCCTCATAAAATCAACATCTCCCCACCAGACATCCCAAGTCAGCACAGAAGTGGTGAAGACTCATCAGAAAAGACGAACGAGTCTTGCAAAGCTAGAGCTTGAAACACTGACATGGCCTCCCAGTGACCCTCCTCACGGCCCAAGGGTAGAAAGGGACAGAGGAGAGCACCTGCCCTTCCCCTGGATCTGGGCACACACACCCCCTCTGACTCGCAGGTCGAAGAAAGAGGCTCCAAGGAGTCAATGCTAATTGCAATAGCCTTTCACTTTGGAACGTTGGCCAGTAATTGTGAACAGCCATGGGGCTGAGCGGGAAACAGGGTCCATCTCGGTTGCTGGAGATGTTCTAAGTAGCTCTCACACTCCTCCTCTGCTCCATGCCTATCTGAGCAGTGGAGTTACAGCGGCTAGTTTGTCACTCTCAGGCACCACCCTACGGTCCTCTCCTTGGCCCTAGGAAACCACCTCTTGCCTGCACCGAGGTCTGTATCCACAGCGATCCCACCTTTCCAGAGATGGTCCTGAAAGTTAGCTAGAAAGCAGACAAGAACTCTGAAAAACACGACTGGGGAGTAAGTCCACACAGAAAGGTAAAACCCAGCCAAGATCTCCAGAGACACAGCCCTCAGATGTTAGACTCCAGGAAGAAAGGGCGTGAAACACCAAGCTCAAGGGGGTGCTGATCCTCACTGCAGGGATGGCATCCTGCTGCCCCCCAGAGTCTTCGGATGGTTATGCACCGGCCCCTTGGCTGGATTATACATTCACTGGTTGTCAGAAGTTTCTGGAGCTGCTGGGGGTCGGGGAAGAAGTCGCAGAACAGTCTGTCCTGCCCTCTAGACTCTACACATCGTAACGGTTCAAACTGTATGAGTTTGGGTAGCTCTGCCGGCTGTACTGGAAGTGATCTGTTAGGATGTTGTTTTGGCTGTACTGATAGTCCTCTTGCTGGGGGAAGAGGATGCCATTGTGGGGTTTCTCCAGGGGGCTCCAATGATGCTCCTTACTGCCCAGGTCCCCCGTCGTGACAGGGAGGAGGTGCTTCCGGGCCTGCTGATTGGCATCATACTTGGTCTGCAAGGTCAAGAGAGAAATGAGAGAATCTGCTCCTTCCCTAGGACATGCCCACAGGACAGGGAGCTCGTGACTCACAGCCAAGCAGCTCTTCAAGGCTGATGCAGGCGTCGACCCCAGCAGGGTCAGGCGTGGCCAGGAACAGTTAACAGACCAGCCCTCCCTGTTAGCCATCCCAGGTCTTAATACCTGACTAAACAGAGTCCTTGCAAGGAGGGAGCAAAATCCCCAACAAAGCCCCAGTAGACCTGAGAGCCAGGGCTGGAGCGAGGCATGGCCTGCGGTCATCTATGCACGAAAAGGAAGGCCGGGCCGGTGGGGCCACACCAAGACCATACACCAACCAGTGGCAAAGCTGGTGGCTGGAACCCTGGCCTCTTAGCAACTGGGGAGGCCCCTTTCCCCCTCCCACCAACTCCTGGTGCCTCCTTGGGAAGACTCACCTTGTTGTACAGAAAGACCCCCAGGATGGCTGTCATCATGCCCAGGACGTTGGTGCTGGTGACTGGGTTTCGCAGCATGATCAGGGACACCGTGATGACCATGATTCTCTTGGTGGCATTGGCAACCGAGTAGCTCAGAGGGCTGATGAGGTTGAGTATGCTGAAGGCGATGACGTTCTGGGCAAAGTTACAGAAGCCGCTGACAGCCAGCAGCAAGAGCGTCCAGGGCCACTGGGACACAGAGGTCTACCGAGACAGGGAGCAAGAAGAGCGCTGTGGCCACACGGCTGCCCTGGCAGAGGTGGGGGAGGGGCACGGTGGCTTACAGTCGCACCGTCCGTGGGGAGCAGACCCAGGTGGGTCGTCGTGTGATACCAGGTGCTTTATATCACAAGCTCTGACCCTCACGACACAACAACAATCACAGTAATCACCCCCCGTTCCTGCTGAGGAAGCGGAGGTGCCCAGAGGGTGCAGAGCATGACGTGAACCAAAGCCTTCCCTTGTTCCTGGACAGTGAGCGGCCGGGGCTCTGGGGTCAGTAGAGCAAAATCTGCTTACTGGACATCACCTCAGTCCCTTCAGGCTGCTGTAACCAAACGCTACGGACCAGGGGTCTCACAAACAACAGACATTTATTTCTCTCAGTTCTGGAAGCTGGAAGCCTAAGATCAAGGTGCCGGCAGATTCCACATCTGGTGGGAGCCCTCTTCCTTGTTCATAGATGGCATCTTCTCAGTGTCCTTGCATGGTGGGCGTGGTGAGGGAGCTCTCAGGGGTCCCTCTTGTGAGGACACTAACACCATTCCTGACAGCTCCACCCTCATAACCTAAGCACCTCCCACAGGCCCCACCTTCTATACCATCACATTGGGGGTTAGGTTTTAACATACGAATTTTGGGGAGACACAAACATTCAGACCATAGCAGACAGGATGCATTCTATAGGATGGGGAGGTCCTGGGAGGGCAGCCCCTGTGTGTATGAAGAACTCTCCAGGCTGGGAGCACAGGCCTTGGGTCTGCCCCGTCACTGGGAGCTCCCAGGGAAGCTGCTTGACCTCTCTGGTTGCGGGTTCTTTATCTATGCAATGGGGGAGAATGATCCTTGCTGAGCCTGCACAGCGCTGCTGCTATGAGAGGATCAAATGCGATCATCGCTCTGAAAATGCTTTAAAACAGTTCCAAGCCAAACAAGCACAAGCAGAAGGTGATGTTATTGTCAGAACTTTAGTTACCATCTGACCCTCACCGGAATGAGGCCACTCTCATCAACGGGGCCTAGAAGTCAAGAAACCACAATGAGCAGACATCTGCACCACAGAACCCCTCTGGCTTCTCCCAGGTCAGGCAGAGAACCATGGAGGCCCTGCCCTGGCCAGGTGGCTGGGGATGCTCAGTGCTGAATACTTATGGATTTGTATCTATTTAGGACTGGACTCCAGAAGGCACATGGCCTGGCTCCTAGGCCTGCCCGCCCTCTGCGGTCCCACCTCAGTACCAGTCCACTAGGCCAGGGAACCAAGAGGCTGCTACAGGCAGGGCTACCAGGCCAATGGAAGGACGTCAGGAGATGGCACACCTGCCATAGAGGGCCCCAGGCTGGCTGTCTATCCAGTGTCTGTGACCCAGACAGGGGTGTGGGGAGAGCACCGTGTCCTTGTGCTTTGAGGGCAGAGCAGTCTCAGACCCAGCGTGGCTTGGTCGAGGCAGCAAAGGCACAGCTGCTTAGCAGTGCCTGCTCTCTGCGGGCCAATTCCTGGGCCACACTAGCCTTGGCCACGGGGGGACACAGCTGGTTCCCCACAGGACGGTGGTGTTTAGCAGCCCTGCCAGGATAGGAGCTGGAGCAATCTTATGATGGCTGCCTGATTCCATCTCCACCACCCTCTGAGAGGGAAGGATCACGGGGTCCTCTTAAATGGAAGATGTGCTTAGGTGACCTGCTCAAAGTCACCCAGATTTGTGCTCTAATTGGGGTAAGAGCCCCTTGTAAGGCACACGAGTACACAGCATGCCCTCATGGGGAGCTGGCCTCTTCTTCCAGGAATCCTTCCCTGAGTGACCAACACAGACTTCTAGCTAAGCTATTTTTACAAGGCAGGCAGCTTGCATAGATATCTATCTTCCAGGAAAGGAACTGAGCCAATCCAGCTTTTTAAAAACAGTGACATACAATAAAGTTGAGAATGTTCCTTGAGTGTTCCTTGTGATGCATAGTTCCATAGGTTTTAACACGTGTATTGATTCTTGTAGCCAACACCACAGTCACAATTCAGAACAGCTCTATCACCCCAAAACACTCCCCCAGGGTTCTACTTTGTATCAACCCCGTCTCCTAACCCAAGCAACCACCAGTGTGTTCTCCATCACGACAGGTTTGCGTTCTGGAGACTGTCGTGTAAGTGGAATGATACAGCATGGAACCTTCACAGACACGCTTCTTTCACTAGCATAATGCCTTTGATATCCATCCAAGTTGTTCTAAGGGACAATAGTTGGTACCTTTATTTTTATTGCTGAGTAACGTTCCATTGTATGAACGTACCAGTTTATTTATCCATTCACCTGCTGAAGGACATCTGTGTTGTTTCCAGTTTTTGATGATCATGAATAGAGTTGCTGTAAACATCTGTGTACAGGCTTTTGTGTGAACCTGAGTTTCATTTCTCTAGGGTAAATATCCAGGAGTGAGACTGCTGGGTCCATACAGGCAGTGTAAATTTAACTTCATAAGAAACTCTCAGATGTTTTCCAGAGTGGCTGCACTACTTTGCATTCGCTCCAACGAGGTATGACATAGTTCCAGTTAGCCCCATCCTTGACAAACTTCGTACTGTCATTATTTTTTATTGTAGCCATTCTAACAGGTATGAAGTGCTATCTCATCATGGTTTTAACTTGCATCTCCCTAATGACTAACAATGTTGAATAGATTTCATGTGCCTATTGCCTATTATACCATCTGTACAATCCCAATAGTGAAATGTCTGTTCAAATCTTTTGCCCATTTTTAATTAGGTTGTTTTCTTACTATTGAGTTTTGAGAGTTCTTTATATATTTGGAACACAAGTTCTCTGTTGGTATGTCATTTGCAAATATTTTCTCCTGTCTGTAGCTTGTCCTTTCTTTCACTTAACAGTGTCTTCACAGAGGAAAAGTTTGAAATTTTGATGAAGCCCCATTTACCAATTTTTTCTTTTATGGACTTTGCTTTTGGTGTAATACTAAGAACTAATCTCAAGTCATGAAGATTTTTCTCTGTTTTCTTCTAAAGGGTTTAAAAAAAAATTGTTTTAGGTCTAGAATGCATTCTGAGTTAAATTTTGTATAATGTGTGAGGTCTAAGTCAAGGCTCAGTTTTTTGCATATGGATGCCCAATTGTCCAATACCATCTCTTAAAGAGACTGCCCCTTCTCCACTGAATTGCCTTTGCACCTCTGTCAAAAGTCAATCACCCCTAGTTGTTGTGAGTCGTTTCAGAATCTCTCTTCTGTTCCACTCATCTATGTATCTCCCTTCATCAATATCTGTATTTTTTATACTAAGTCTTAAAATTAAGTAATGTGATTTCTCCAACTTTATTCTTTTTCAAATTTATTTTGGCTATTCCAGTTCTTTTGACTGTCCTTGTAAATTTTCCAATCAGCTTTTCTATATTAAAAAAACTATTTAATATGTATGTACATATCTATCTCTCTCCATACCTGCAGCACAGAGAGATATATAGATTAGTGTATCTCAACTTTTTTTTCATTGTCACTTTTCCCAAGGAGAAAAATTAAAGTTAAAATTAATTAAATTAATGCAAAGGAAAAAATTTTATTGGGTAGAGAGAATTTTATTTCTTCCTTTCAAACCTGTTTCTTTCTTTTTCTTGTCTTATTGCACTGGCTAGGAGGTCAAGTATGATGTGGAATAGGCAGGTTGAGAGTGAACCTCCTTACCTCATTCCTGAATTTAAGGGGAAAAACATTCAATCTTTCATCATTATGATGTTAGCTATAAATGCCCTTGATCAACTTGAGGTAGTTTCCTTCTACTTCTAGTTTGTTGACTTGAAAGTGTTCTCTCTTATTCTGTGTTCTGAAGGAGACTGTGTAGAATTGGTGTTTATTTTTCTTTAAATGTTTGGTAGAATTTGCCAGTAAAATCTGGGCCTGATGATTTCTTTTCAGAAAGTTTTAAACTATGAGTTCAGTTTCTTTAATAGCTATAAGACTATTCAGGTTATCTATTTCATCTTGGGTAGGTGAGTTCTGACAGTTTGTGGTTTATGAGGACTAGGTCTCATCTATATTGTTGAATTTATGTGCATAGAGTTGTTGGTAGTATTCTTATGCTTTTAAGGTCTGTAGTGCCATTCCCTCTTTCATTCCTGATATTTGTAGTGTCTTCTCTATTTTTATCAGTTTTGCTTCTGTTGAAAGTATTTTATGTTTCCTTTAAGACTTCTTTGGCCCATGGATTATTTAGAAATGTGCTGTTTAATTTCCAAGTGTTTGGAAATTTTCCTGTTACCTTTCTGTTACTGTTATTCCATTATGGTCAGAGAATATACTTTGTTTTCAATCCTTTTGTTAAGGTTTGTTTTATGACACAGAATATAGTCTATCTTGGAATGTTCCAAGTGTACTACTTGAGAAGAATGTTTATTCTGCTATTGTTGGGTAGAGTGTTCTATAAATGTCAATGAGATATCCAGTTGGTTGATGGTGTTGTTCAGTTCTTTATTCTTGCTGATTTTCTATAGTTCTATTGATTCTGGAGATTCTATATTTGCTGGATATAGAATCATGTGTTCACAGTTCTTTAGTTTCAGTACTTAAAAATGTTATTCCACTTCTTTCTGGTTTTCATGGTTTCTGATGAGAAACATGCAGTCATTCAAATTGCTGTTCTTCTATAAACAATGCATCATTTTTCTCTGGCTGCTTTCAAGATTTTTTGTCTTTTAATCTTTTTCCCGTCTGTGGTTCAAACTGGATAATTTCTATTGATCTATCTTCAAGTTATTGTCTTTCCTCTGTCATTTCCATTCTGCCATTGAGTCCATCTAATGAGTTTTTAAGTTATTGTTCCTTCCATTCTAAAATTTCCATTTGGTTCATCTTTCTATCTTCTATTCCATTTGTTTCAAGAGCATTTGCCCTTACTTCTTGGAGCATGATTATAATCATTGCTTTAAAGTCTTTGTCCGATAATTCCAACATCTCAGTCATCTCAGTGTTGGCAATTGTTAATT